CTCTGTATGACTATTTCCATGTATATCATAAAGAGTAAATTATAGTTAATTTTATTGGTTCGAGAAATTTTTGAGACTTTATATGTTTAAGATATATTTCATCCTCTTCATCCTCACCAGCACTTGTTTCTGATCTTTTTTTTTTTTTTTTTTAAAGATTTATTTATTTAGGGCCTCCCCTGGTGGCGCAGCGGTTGAGCGCTGGGTTGTGAAGCTGTCCGCAGTCTCTGCAGCGCCGGTTCGATCCCCGGCCACCGGCGAGGGTCCCACATGGCACAGACCTCTCCTGCCGCCTGCTGCTCCCCTCAGCAGTGTATTTCGTCCGTCTGCCTGTTCTGTTCCCTGCTCTAGTTCTGGTGAATTCTCTCACCCTCCCGCGCTTCTGACTGTACCCCGTGCTTGTATGAATAAATAAATAAATATTTAAAAAATATTTATTTATACAAGCACTAGGTACAGTCAGAAGCATGGGAGGGTGAGAGAATTCACCAGAGCCAGAGCAGGGAGTAGAACAGGCAGAAGGACCGAAGTACACAGCTGAGGGAAGCAGCGGGAGGCAGGAGAGGTCTACACTTCATGTGGGACCCTCACTGGTGGCCGGGGATTGAACCGGCACTGCAGAGGCTGTGGGCAGCTTCCCAACCCAGCGGTCAACCGCTGTGCCACCAGGGAGACCCTGTTTCTGATCTTTTTTGATGTAGAGCGCTCTCACAGTTATGAGGTAGTATCTCATTATGGTCTTGATTTGCATTTCTGTGATAATGATCATTTTGTCATACTCCTTCAACCTGTGTTTTAAAAATCTATTTTTTCTGTTCTGCCCAATTTTTTGTTCAGTGGGATTTTTGAAAGTTACCCTTGTAATTCCTTTACATAAGTACACTTCGGTTATCATTTACAACAAATACTCCTATTAAAACACAATTACATTGGGTGATGAGTCTTTAAAGATGTTATTGTGATGTATTTCTTGTAGTGTTTTGTCTATATTTTCTTCTATATATTTTATGGTTTCAAGTCTTATGTCCAGTTCTCTTATCCATTTTGAGTTGATTTTTGTGCACAGTGAGAGGTAGTGGTCTAGTTTCATTTTTGTGCATGCGGTGGTCTCGTTTTCCCAGCACCATTTATTGAACAAACTGCTGCTGTTCCATTGTGTGTTCTTTGCTCCTTTGTCAAAAATCAGCCCTTATACCAGTGAAAATGGCACATATCAAGAAAACAAGCAACAGCAAATGTTGGCCAGGATGTGGTGAAAAAGGAAATCTCCTACATTGCTGATGGGAGTGCAAACTGGTCCAACCATTATGGAAAGCTGTCTGGAGGTTCCTCAGTCTACTGAAAATGGAGCTACTGTATGACCTAGCAATTCCACTCCTAAGGAGCTACCCAAAGGATGCAAAAACATTGATTCAAAAGACCACCTGTACCCCTATGTTTATTTCAGTGCTATTTACAATAGGTAAAATCTGGAAACAACCTAAATGACCAATAATAGAGGACTGGATTAAGAAGATGTGGTATATATACACAATGGGATATTATTCAACAATCAAAATAGATAAAATCATGACAGTTGCAGCAATATGAATGGAGCTAGAAGGAATTATGCTCAGTGAAATAAGCCAGAAGGAAAAAGAAAAATTTTGGATGGTTTCATTTATAGCAGGAATATTGGGGAACCAAATAAGATATCAGTGTAAAAAAATAATAACAGTAAAAAACACAACAAAGCATGGGCCTCCCTGGTGGTGCAAGGGGTTAAGCACCACACTATGAAGCAATCCACAGCCTCTGCAGCAGGAGTTCAATCCCCCAACAGGGAGTGACCCCCATGGTGTAGCAGATCTCTCCTTACTCGCTTGCTGTTCCCCTCAGCAGTGTATTTCAGTCAATCTGCCTGTTCTGCTCCCTACTATGTCTCTGGTGAATCCTCTCATGCCCCGCATCTCTGGTTGTACCCCAGCTCTTGTATCCATAAATAAATAAATCTTAAAAAAAAAAAAAACAAAGGAAAAACAATTATAAATGAGAAAAATACTGCAGGGGAGGAAGAGGATGAGGTATAAGAGGGAAGGAAGTAGGAGCACAGGGGACTGAGGTGATGGTCCACAGGTGCACTGGGGAAGGAAACTCTATGGGGACTATACCTGAGGGGGTGGAGGGAAGCAAATATCATTTTAAAATGAACAGTGATGTAAAAAATTTTAAAAAAATAATAAAAAAATAATAAAAACTGTATCCCAGAGGGGGGAGAAACACAATTATAATTGGAGAATGAATGAATGAATGGTGGTAATATCTCAGTCACTGGAAGGAAATATGGTTTAATATTGTTTTTTGAATCAGGGGAAATCTAAATAGCTTATTTATAAAGAATAAAATTGAATGCAGGAAATTTAAGAGTAGAGAAGAGAGGTTGAGAAAATAAATGTAGGTATTGATCTTTGTTATAGTTATAGAAATTTTGAAAATGTAGTGATTTTTTGGAATATTTATTGGCAAACATCATTAAATACCTATTGGTAATAGAATAATGATATTATATTTCCATTGTATTATAAATGATATAATAGGAGCATAAGGGAAAAGCATATAATGTCAAGATTTATGAGTCTTGCTTTCTAATAGAATTTAGCATCTAAGATAATCTTAAGAAGGCCTAAGTTTTCAGCATTTATGATTGCTGTGGAAACAAGTTACAAGCATGGGTGTTCAACACTTTTGTCCCTGATATATTTCAGAGGCATTTGAAAATGGAAAAATAAATAACACACTGTAAACCCATGATCTCCTATAGTCCTCAGGTGTGTGAAGAGGTGAACTGTCTTCAAAATAGCCCAAGTGCAACAATTTCCTGTTCAAACTGCTAGTGACACATTCATGAGAAATCTACTTTTTCCACTCTTGCTTCACTCTGAAACTTCACAGGGCAGTTCTTAAGATCACAGATCTGTGATCAGAAACAACAAGTGCTGGTGAGGATGTGAAGAGGGAACCCTCTTGAACTGCTGGTAGGATGCTCTGTGGGCCAGTCCCTGTGAAAATCAGTATGGAGGTGTCTCCTCCTTCACTCAAGGATGCACAATTTCCTCGCCAACAGAAGGTATGTGTTGCTCCTCTCCTCTCCCTCTGCTGATCCATGTCTTTTAGTGGAGGTTTATGATGGGTAGATGTGAATCAACTGATATGCAATTCATATGCAGTCAAATCAAAGAGAACTTTGGTGTCTTTATTTGAGTAACTCAGGTAAAAGATAAGATGAAAACAAAATATTTTGAGGATTTCTCAAAATATTTGAATTCTTTCCAGTGGAGAAATTGTCACGTTTATAATATCCTTGCATAATTAGAGTTGTAAATCAATGCAATTTAACTTGAAATTTCACCAGATCACGACAAAGAAGAGTTTACTTTGGAATTCATAATCAATACAGATATAATGCCATATATTTTTGTATTTATCTCAATGTTTAAAATTCGACTCTTAAAAATGAATTCATTCCATCATGAAGGTCAAAGGTAATTCCTCATCTACATACTTAGAGCCAATATAAAATATTTTAATTTTAATAGAAATCAAGATGAGATAGTTTCCATAAAATGCTATTTTGAATTTAAAAGTATACAAAATGCTTAAAAATAAGTAAAGTGTGTATAAGAAATGCCATGCTAATAAAACAAACTGCTGTCTAATGAATTAGTTTACATGGTATAAATTTATGAATCAGGATAAACATGGTGGTTCTATAAAAATAATAATGAAAATAAGGAATGTATTATTGACAGCTTACAAAGGTCAGGTTGAGTATGATGTTTTGCATGTATTATGTCTTAGATATTCCTAGTTCCAGATTAGATTAGTAAACTAAAACTAATTTGAAAGACTATATAACTTTTTATATTATTTTGTCTTTTTCTTTTTTATTGAGCTAAAATTAAAATGTGATACTTAGTATCAAAGTCAGAATTAATTCTGCATCATTACAGTCTATTGACTGAATTACTAAAGTTATTGCTTTTTATTTATTGCAATGGCTTGCACAACTAAGGCACCATTCATTAACTTGGATAGTTACAGGATCTTTCTGGCAGTTTTAACCAATAATGTTGTCCAACAATTAATGAACCAATAATGTATGCATCATATTGTGTTTTTTATTTAGCTATTAAATCAATTACTAATTTCTTGTATTACTTAAAATTATGTATTTTAATATATTACTTTTTCTTGTTTTGTTTTTATTATTGTTTAGGTTTTGCACAAGCTTAGCATGCCATTAACAAATTTCTTTAAAATTTTAAAACTTTCTCAGAATATCACAATAATGAAAGACATATTTTGAAAGAAAATAATAAGAGAATTTAATAACACCTCATCGCCTTTTAATAAATAACAATAAATTTCTAAATAAAAATAATAAGTGTAGGAAATGCTAACACTGCTATTTCTCCAAATTAGAACTTTTCAATCTTTAACTATTAGTTTTAAAAATTGACATAAAAATGGGAACATCATTTTTTCTAAGCCATCATTCTGATTTCAATACAGTTACACAAGTGACCTTAAGATGCTGCTATGGACTATGACTTTAAATTAATAAAGATAATATTGGTCATGAACTTCTCATTTTTGGTTAATTTTTTTTCATTTTTCCAACCAATACTATTGTGTCAGCATGGAATATCCTTTGAAAAAATATTTATTCTCTCATGAAAAATAGTTGTAAAGTTCCTAGGAGTTCATATTTTTAAAATTTTCTCATTGAGGTAATATTTGTTTACATAATTGTCTGTATGTTGGAGTGATGGGATCCACCTCTGGTGATACTACCTTAGTGCTCTAGGACTTCAGACCAGATATGTGTGTTGTTCAACTGCAATACGAGTCTATTACTCTGCTCAACTCCGCCCACAGTGATCTGCTCCTATACACCATTTATTAAAGACTGAGAAGCATTTATCACAGAGCACAGTTCCTGACTTTACAGAGCAGCAGAGATGAATGAGCAAAGAGTCACCTATGCAGAGCTGAAGCTGGCAAAGGACTCAAAAAGGCCACAAGTGAAACCTAAAGAGAGCAAAAGCTCCACCACTGGAACTGAGCAGGGAGTAACCTATGCAGAATTAAGTCTTCACAATGCTGCTCGGGATCCTCAGGAGAATGGCAAGTCCTGTCACCTCAGAGGTAAAACATTTAGTAGACGCACAGCACAACTATTCTTGGAGATGCAGAGGGGTGGAGGTGCACAAAGAATGGGGAATAAACTGACATGTTTTTCATTTGTGAGGCTGAGAATTTGGCCTTGGAATATGATAGTCTAGTAGGAAATCTGATGGCTATTTGTGCCAGGTATTTTTATAATTTATAATTGTTGAAAAGCAATAGCTCATGTGTGTATTGTTTACTAAACACAACAATGGTATATTCTGGGGGAAAGATTCCAGTGGGAGATAGAGGTCTCAGGCCCAAATTTATATATGTGTCTCCCTGTGCATGTAGATTTTCTTGCAAACGGAACACCTGCCTCTTTGTGTCCTTTCTCAGTGTTTCCATTTTTCTCCCTGCAGGCCTATCAGCACCTCTGGAGAAGCGCATTGCTGGGATCTTGGGACTCACCTGCCTTGTCTTGATATGCATTATTGTGCCCATGAGAGTTATTTCCTGTAGGTACATTTATGAAATTTTATAACGGAACGTTTCACTTAATGATTGTCAGTTCTTTTAAATATTTCATAATATTAAGAAATAGAACATATGTTAATATCAGTTTAATTGAATGTTGAATGGTTAATCTCTCCTTCTCAAAAGTACAAAGATGCAGAATTATCTGTGGAGATTATTTTTGTAGATTCAGGTATCACAATTCAAAGTCATGCTTTCAGAGACTGAAAGAATCTATTGAAAACTATGAATTTTTTTTTTTAAATTTGGTGACTACATGTAGGAGATGCTAAAATTTGACTCCAAATTTTTGTGATATTTTCCCCAAAGCTTTATTCTTCTGTTGTTTTTTTCAGAAAGTCAACTTTATCATTATAACTCTAATATTATGATTATAACACTGCCAACATTCATTTCTAATTTTGGAATATTAAATTGATTCTTAATTACTGAGAACTTTAATTTTTATAAAGATTCTCTTATTTTTCTAGATACTAATAAAAAGCCAGAGCAGAATGATTTCTCCTCAGAGCAGAATGATTGCCCAAACGTCACTAATAGCCAGAAAGGTATACAATGATTTCCAAAATTCTGATGTTAACACAGTTTATATTATGTATACTTGTTACACTATGGTCAAAATGGTAACAAATATTTTGGTAAAGCATACATTACACAATCAAATAATAAATGTTCATGAATAATGATAATATGAAGGGTTCATTATATCCAACAAAAGGAAGAAAATTCACTTAGCACTTAAACACCCATGTGGCCAATTGGTTTATCTCCTGCTGCTATTATATGTATAAATAATGTTATTATTAAAAATGACTTTATTTGCTCTTTGTCAGGACATATACAGTGGCTATTATTAGTGTGAGTTTGGAACATATGGGCACATAATTTATAGCATGAGATGCTACCTTTTCTCTTGAGTGTGTGTTGTATGCACCAGCTGTGAGGTGTGTGCATGTGTTATGGACATGTATGTTCAAATCTCAGCGTGTATATGATATGTCATATTATTAATCCAAGTAGTTTTAGGTAATAATTCATAATTTCCCTTCAGACAGAATACCATTGCTGGCCTTGTCCAAAGGAGTGGATTATGTACTCCAACAACTGCTATTACTTTAGTGTTGAAAAAAAAACCTGGAAGGAGAGCGTGACAGCCTGTCAGTGTATGAACTCTCAGCTGCTCTACATAGACACTGAAGAAGAAATGGTAAGAATTTCAGTGTCCCAACCACTTTGATGAAGACTTATTCTGGTTAAATTTATATTTATAGAATCCATACATATTTTTGTTCAAAATTTGTAGTTTATTTAAAGTTTGTATAACATTTCTTTGTCTGTCTTTGAGGTATTTTATTAAACTCTTTGACCCATTAATGCACACTTGAAAAACCCTGTTCTTGGCTTTCACAGAGAACCATATTTTCTATATGTGTGTGTGTGTATATATATATATATATATATATATGTGTGTGTGTGTGTGTGTGTGTATAAAATAAAGATTACTATTTAATTCACATCAAGAAAGGCGAGCATGTTGTGATCCCGCAGATTAATCACCAAGGCAATAAAATTGTATCTTCAGAGTAGAAGTCCCAGCCCCTAGCACACCTGAGACACCCTGTCTCTCTCTCTTCACTCCTGCTGTCTGGTTATTTAGCCACTGACTTGACTTTTAATTTCAGAGATCTTTTTCTTGCTTATGAACTGAAAGGCAATCATACAGTATATAATTTTGTTCTGGTCCTGTCACTCCCCTATAATTCCTCATTAATTCATTGGCATATTGCATTTATGTGCTGTTTGCTAATTTTCACTGCAGATTTTTATGATACACCATTTTACAATCCATTCTTTTTGATGTGTCAAGAGTGGGGTATGTCAGTTCTCAGAGATAAAGAAACTTTCTGGGTTCTTTATTTTCAGTCAGAGGGTCCCCTTAGTTTTCCCAGTGCTACCATACAAGCCCTGCTCATGAGTCCCTGGTGGTGGGAGGTGAAGTGAGTCCTGGCTGCTGACTGTTGTCACTGTCCTGAGGCATCACCCTTGTCAGGTTGCCCTATGGTTGCGAGACAGGACCCCTCACCTCAGTAGGGAATGGCTGCCCTGAGCCTCCTCCTGGTGTAGGTTGGTGCTGACAGGCCACCGGCCTGGCTCAGATTTTCCTTGTTTACATACAAGAAGAGTGAAGTTCCTAAGTATAAATGTTTAGGAGCTCCTGTTATGTAACGATGATGTACTGGTGAGAGTTTGTGGCATCATGCACGATAATTTTCAGCACACTGTGCGTATGTGGTGTGAGGTTGGAATCTGTCACTTCATTCTGAAAGTGTAGGATATTGGGAAATCACATATTGCTTGTGTTTTTGTTTTTTTATTTTTAAAAAGGAATCCTTTCATCATTCCTATGTAAGTGAAAATTCTTTATGTTTGAATAGAAATTCATGAACTCCATATCAGTTTTGTCATGGATTGGAGTCTACCGTAACGACAGTCATCAGTCATGGATGCTATTAAATGGGTCCACTTCCCAACTACAGTAAGTTTATTTAAATAATGTTACCTAAGAGAAGAAAGGTATGAAAAGGAACATAAGAAGAATGATATTAGTGCATTTGATTTCAATTGTAGACATGAAGAATGTTGTTGAATGTTAATGGAATCTTGAAAAATATTGAAGAAAGGACAGCTCAGTTTGTCTAACTCCCAACTCTTACAAAAATTCTATGAAAATTGTCTTTATCTATTTTCAAATTATACTTGTATTGCAATCAAAAGAATAAGCTACTGTTCTTGATTTATCCCAATGTTATATAACAACAGAATTATATATTTGTCTTTATTTCAGAATAAGAGACTCATCATCTGGTAATTCTCACTGTGTGATGCTACAAAATGAACATTATGCAGAGGGCTGTGAAGTTCCAAATATGTATTATTGCAAGCATAAGTTCATATTAAAAAAAAAACTAAGTTTGGATTTATTTGGGTAAATTTCTTTTTTAAAATAATTTATTTATTTATATGAATTTTACATCATTGTTCTTTTTTATAATGTTTGCTTTCTTTTCTCAGGTGTAGTTCCCATAGAATTTCCACCACCAATTCACCCTTGTACCATCACCATAGTTCCTTCTGTTCTTCCCACCTTCTTTTTTTTTCCTCTCTCTCTCCCTCCCCTGCAGAATGTCTCTGATTTATAGTTGTCAGTTTATTTTTGGTTTGTTGTGCTGTGTTTTTTTTTTTATTGTTGTGATTTCTTTCCCCTGATGTCTTATTTGGTTCTCCTATATTTCTATATAGTGAAACCATCCGATATTTTTCTTTTTTTTTTTTTTTTTTTTTTTTTTTTTTTATTATTTTTTTTTTTTAATAGAGGCATGCTTTATTTATTTGTTTGCTGGTTTGTTTGCTTGTTTTGTTTATACATGCACTGGGTACAGTCAGAAGCGCGGGAGGGTGAAAGAATTCACCAGAGTCAGAGCGGGGAGCAGAGCAGGCAGAAGGACCGAAGTACACTGCTGAGGGGAGCAGCGGGCGGCAGGAGAGGTCTGCGTGCCATGTGGGACCCTCCTCTGGTGGCCGGGGAGCAGCCGGGGATCGAACCGACGCCGCAGAGGCCGCGGGCAGCTTCGCAACCCAGCGCTCAACCGCTGCGCCACCGGGGAGGCCCCCGATATTTTTCTTTTTCCTTCTGACTTACTTCACTGAGCATAATCCCTTCTAGCTCTATCCATGTTGCTGTGAGTGGCATTAGTTTATCTTTTTTGATTGTTGAATAATATTCCATTGTGTCTATATGCCACATCTTCTTGATCCAGTCATCTGTTTTTGGGCATTTGGGTTTGTTTCCATTTCTTACCTATTATAAATAGTGCTGCGATAAACATAGGGGTGGAGGTATTCTTTTGAATTAATGTTTTTTGTCTTTTGGGTAGATCCCTAGGTGTAGAATTGCTGGGTTATATGGCAGCTCCATTTTTAGTAGACTGAGGAAACTCCATACAGCTTTCCATAGCTGTTAACTGTTGGAGACCCCTAAGGCATGCAGTGCTGAGAAAAGGAAAACATCAAGGTCGTGGCTAGAAAACCGGTCATGACCAAAAAACTGATCAGCGTTGTCGGAAGACTGGCCCATGTACAGATCAGGAAGTTTTTTCTTGTCTGCGAAGCTATGTCTGGGGGACAAACTAGATTAGAAAAAGAAACAGAATCACCTGATGGTGCAGAACCTGGGTGGTGAATGTGTGCCCAGACAAGACCAAATGATAAGAGAATCCTTCATTGTCTAGTAACTCAACTGAGAGGGGAGGGGGGCTGCTTGTATCAATAAAAATGAATTGCACCAGACACTCAGGACACTTGAGCACGGATGAGAGGCCTTGGGTCCCTGGGTCCTGCTTCTCTTAAACTCTATTTGTGCCTGTCATTTCTTTATTATTTCCTCCATTCAATCAGATTCCTCTTTCAACCCTGTTCACTGGAGCCGGACTCTGGCTGTTAACCAATTTGCACTCCCACCAGCACGTAGGTGACTTCATGTTTCACCACATCCTTGCCAATATTTATTGCAGCTAGTGTTATCTAATATGTGTCTTTCCTGGATAACATTCTATTTCAAGAAATGAATCTTAAAATTGATTTTGTTTTTATGACTTTTTAAAAAAAATTATTGTTCAAATATACAGTGCACAGAAAAAAGTACAGCTAGCATTACATTTTTTGTTCAGCATTTCATTTGTGGCTTCGTACCTTCAAAAGATCATATTTTGTGTGAGTCCATTTATATTTTATGGCAAACTCTTAGATACAGAAACTGGACTGGGGGTTGCCAGGGACTGAGGGTAGATGGGATGAGGAACTGACCACATATTGGTTCCCTGTTTCTTTATGAAGTAATGAGCATTTTTCAGTGCTGAGTAGTGGCGTTTGCAAACTCTGAATATGCTAAATATCTTTGATTTATGCATTTGGAATGGTTGAATTTTATGCTTTATAAATTATATCTCAATAATTTTTTTTTAAGAATTCTGTGATGTTTGAAAACATTTAATCTTTAAAGTAATTTGGAGCTTAGTCATCTTTGCCATATTTATTCTTTCAATCTATAGCAACCTTAATCCTTCCTTAAATTTCATTTTTTTCTCTATTATGCTTTGTATTTTTTACAGATGTCATAGGGAAATGATGTTATCCTTTTGTAATGGCATCTTATTTTAAAATGTCTAGAACGTCTGTTAGCAATCTTTAGTGCTGTAAAAAGCAGTACAACTGAAGTTGGCTCATTGATTTATATGCAATGTGTTTGCTCTCTTTATGTATTTTTCTATAAATCTAAAATAGGAATCTAGTATATGAATATAAAATCATTAATTTTGATGTAAATAAGTACTTCATTGTAAATAATCACACTTTGTTTCTTCTTTCCAAGTACAATTCCCTTTTTTTAAGTGGCTTTTTACAGATCAGAATTTTACGTCCAATACTGAATAGAAGTTACCATGATTGATCTCTGTGTATTCCCATTTTAGGGAGATACATTTCAATATTTATTCTTAGATATGAAGTTTATTGTAGCTTTGTCATTGTCACTCTCAAATTTATGTAATTCCATCACATTCTTTTTTTGTAAAGTTTTTTAAGTTTGATGTTATGTTTCTATTCATTTTGCATGAATGGGAATGTAATATGTTTATCAAATGTTTATGAATTATATTATCTTTATTTCCTTGAAATATAAGATCATCTTGCATTTTTGAAATAAAACTATAGCAATCATTCTGTGTGTTCTCTTATCCATGTATATATTTTATCTAGATCATCATTTTTCTTTCTTATTCACAAAACAAAATTATACTACATGTTTGACATGTATGTACCAAGGCTACTGTAAAAAGGATTCCTATTTTTCTACTAGCTCGAGGCCTTTGTGTAAAAGCACAGTGGTATGTAAGTGTCATTTCACTGATGATTTCATCAGAGCATGTAAACCTGTTTTAGGGGAGTTTTATGTAAAAATTCAGTAGCTCTGTCTCATGTGAAGTTTCTTCAGGTAGAACTATTTGCTGTACAATTTTTTGGTGACTACATTTTATACAAATTTTCTATTTCATATAGACATTAAAATGTATTTGTAATACTGGCTTTTTGTCTGGTGTACCTATTAAAAATCATAATGGGGGGGGCTCCCTGGTGTCAAGGGGGTTAGTCTCAGTGCTCTCAAGCAATGGGCAGGAGCTACACCAGGAGTTCAATTCCAGGGAGCTAACCCACTTGGCACAGCAGACCTCTCCTGACTCACCTGCTCCACCCCTTGGTGTGTATTTCAGTAGATCTGCCGGTTCTGCTCCCGATGCTGTCTCTAGTGAATCCTCTCACGTCCCACACCTCTAGCTAATCTTTTAAGCAAAACAAAAACTATAATGGTTTTCTCATACATAATCTAGGTACTAGAGACTTAGTTTCTCAATTGTTTTCTTCAATAGTGTAATTGCTGTTATTAAGTTTTTACAAGGTGAATACATTTGCTTTGTTCATACTCTTTAACAATTTTGTTTTTGTCATTTGTTTGGGCTATTTATTTTTCTTCTATAGTTTTAGACAAATTTTACTTATTTTTGGCTTTGCCATTTTCGGTTTCTTGGATGCATGCTCAGATTTATGCCCTTTCAATTTTGAGCGATATATGCACTTAAGGCATTTTAATTCAAAAGATAGAATATCCATCCAATATTTTCCTTTCCCTTCTGGCTTATTTTGCTGAGCATGATCCCTTCCACCTCCATCCATGTTGCTGCAAATTGCATGAGCTTATCTTTTTTGATTGTTGAGTGGTATTCCATTGCATATATAAAACACATCCTCTTGATCCAGTCATCTATTTTTGGGCATTTGGGTTGTTTCCATACCTTGCTTATTGTAAATAGTGCTACAATAAACATAGGGGTGCAGGTGTCCTTTTGAATTAATGCTTTTGTCCTTTGGGTAGATTCCTAGAAGTGGAATTGCTGGATCATATGGAAGATCCATTTTTGTAGTTTGAGGAAGCTCCACAAGCTTTCCATAGTGTTTGGACCAGTTTGCATTCCCACCAGCAGTGTAGGAGAGTTCCTTTTTCTCCACATCCTCACCAGCATTTATTGTTTCCTGTTTTTTCTTTCTTTTTTTTTTTTAATATGAGCCATTCTCATTGTGTAAGATGGTAACTCATTGTGGTTTTGATTTGCATTTCCTTTGCATTTCCTCCTACAAGTGATGGTGAACATTTTTTCATATGCCCTTACTAGTTGTATTGTGTGCAAAAATATTTCCCAATTAATAGGGTGTCTCTTTGTTTTGGTTAGTGTCTCTTTTGCTGCACAGAAGCTTTTTAATTTGATATAGTCTCAGCTGTTCATCTTTTCCTTCACTTTCTTTGCTGTAGGGATGTGTTTTTAAAGATGTTACTGTTTTGCCTATATTTTCTTCGATATATTTTAGGGCTTCAGGTCTTACTTCCAGGTCTTTTATCCATCTTGAGTTGTTTTTTGTGCATGGTGTGAGGTAGCAGTCTAGCTTCATTTTTTTTTTTTTGTATGTAGCAGTCCAGTTTTCCCACTTATTGAACAAACTGTCCTTGTTCCATTGCATGTAGTTTGCACTCCTGTCAAAGATTAGTTGTCCATAAATATGTGGGTTTAGGGCCTCCCTGATGGTGCCAGGGGTTAAGCACCACACTATGGTGCAATTTTCAGCCTCTGCCACATGAGTTTGATCCCCGGACGGCCAGTGAGCAACCCACATGATGAGGCAGACCTCTCCTGTCTGGCCTATTGAGATTTTTTTACATATTGTAGGAAGAATAAAATCATCATCATTTAGCTGAAAACCTGCTATTTCCCCAGCATTGATTGGAAAGACTACTTTCTTCACTTAACGAGTCTGCATCTTTCTTGATATCTGCATGTCATGTATGTGTGCATATATTACGCACTTTCTAATATGTTTTGTTATCTGGTTATTCTATTTTAAACCAATCCTATACTTTAAACACTGTCTATATTACAATAAGTTTATATTATTTCATGCTAGCAACTTTTCAGTGTTGTCCTGTGTGTTCCAGATATTGGCATGTGTATTTCCTTTTTATCCTTATCTTTTAAATTTTTCTTGCTTTTTATTTCTAGTGAAACCATTTATTTTCTTCCTTTCTCCTCCTGCTTACTTTGCTTAGTATAATCCCCCCATTCATGTTTTGAATGGCAAGAGTTTACCTTTGATTATAGCTTTTGGTTATTTTCTCAGAATTTTATATTAAGGTATCATTTTTAGAACATTATATGTATATTTCACTTCCTGTTCCACTCATCTGTTTTGCAGCAATTAGGTTGTTTTCAGAACTTGACCATTATAAACAGTGCTGTGATGAACACAGGCGTGAATACATCCCTGAAAATTACTGTTTTGTATTCTTTGAGTAGATATCTAGGAGTAGAATTGCTACATCATATGATAAATCAATTAGCTTTTGGTGCAAATGTAGACTGGTCAAGCTCTATGGAAAACAGTATGGAAGTTTCTCAAAAATTCAGATCACGCATTTTTAAAAAAGTAAGCTTTTTTACCATACATCAAGGAGACTAAATATATCATGATTTTTAAGATTAAGTGAAAAGAACCAGTTAATTACAAATTAGTGATATGTGAGAACCTATGCCTTTTCTCAAAGCCCTGCTTACTTCTAATAGAAACTGTTTTGTATATTCTCAATTTACTATCATTCAGTATAAGGTGTTTTCTAAGACATTTTTCTTTTTTTTCACCTTTGCACTCTGTTTTCTAGAAGACAACATGATTGCTTAGACATTCATATGTTTCATATACCTAATTATGAAATTCTATATACGTCAGCTATGTCTGGTGTCTTTACAGTCTTCCACAGGTTTATTGATTTATTGACGAGTTGTTCTCATTTTTGTTCTCTCATAGAAGTTTTTCAGCAACTTTCGTGTTTTCTCATGGATTGACTTTGCCCAGAGTACCTATATTAATTCACAGGTGCGGCCAACAGGCTCAGCTTTCTCTTCCAATTTGTAAGTTTTTTGAGAACAATTATTTTGTATTCCTTAAAGAGAAAGATCATAGGCATAAAAAACAAAATGTTAATGACTCTATAAACATAATTACTTAAACGGTTCCAATGAAAACTTATATTGGAAATATTCAGGTTTAGATATAACCATTAGTCCAAATATATTGTTTGTTTACACCAAAATATTAACTAATAACAAATATTAATTGATATTATATGTATGAGTATTAATTTTATGTTATTCTCTACATTTCAGGATTTCACAATCTTCAGAGAAGGATAAAAATTGTCTATTTTTAAATTTTGACATGAAAATTGTGTCTTTTGATTCCTGCTTAGAAAAAAAATTTTATAAGCATCAAGCACCTTGGCTTACCTAAATTTGGTAAAATGCCATTCATCATTGTGGAGTCCATATTTCTAGTTTTTGGTTATTTTCTTAGAAATTTATATTAAGATATCATCTTTAGAACATTATTGGTTCAGAACAAAATGGTGGTGATATTTCCCACACCCCCTTGTCCACACACAGGCATAGCCTCCCCATTAACAACATCAGTAACCAAAACAGTGCATCTGTTATGGAGGGTGAATCCACATTTATACATAATAACAACTTAAATTTCATAGTTTACTGAGGCTTTGCCCTTGGTGTTATAGACTTTATTCTAAATCTTCATATTAATAAGGAAGATATACTCCCAGGTACACATTACACTTCTTTTTGTTGTTTATTAAAATAAACCATATATAAATTATGAATCCTAATGTCAAGAAGTGTTATTTCTTAGTGCTCAACTGTGAATAATTCCACTCCTATTTTCTCATTAATTGATTAATTCTAGCCCTTGAAGTTGATGATGAAGATTCGACAACCATGGTAGCAAAGTCTTTAAGTCATAGACGAGTCAGAAGACACAAATCAGGGAACTTTTGATGTAATGAATGATTAACTATTTGGTGAGGACAAATCTCAGGCTGGACTATGGAGCAGGAACACTCCTTGCCAGAGTATCCACAGGCAGAGGCTAGAGGGCAAGAAAATGTGACAGGGCCTCCCTGGTGGCACAGGGGTTAAAGACAGCGCTATCAAGCTATTGCCAGCCACTGCAGCAAGAGTTTAATCCTCCAGCCAGGAGTAACTCACATGGCACAGCAGACTTCTCCTATCTTGCCTACTGCTTCCCTCAGCTGTGTATTTTAGTCAATCCACCTGTTCTGCTCCTCACTCTCTCTCGTGAATCCTCTCACCCCCACATCTCTGGTCTACACCCTAGTTCTTGTAGGCATACATAAAAAAAAGCTTTCACTACGGTGGGGTAGGGGGAGCCAGGGAGTAGGATCAGAACAAGGGTGATGAGAATTGTGTGGGGACTATAACCAAGATGAAAACACATATGTTGTGCAAAAAAGGAAAAATGATGTAAAAAAGAAAAAAAAAAAAACAACTGTGACAGACGGACCACAAAAGCTGGAGAGGTGAGCACTGCAGCACTTTCTGCATGTGGCCCCTGACATCTGTGTCTCAGCCAGTGAATCCAACTCCAGGAAGCCAGAAAGAACCCCTTCCCTACAGTGTCTCCCCAGTGTCCCTTACAGCAAAGCTTAACATTGTGTGTGCCCACAAGGGAGAAAAGTTTACAGGTTCTAGCTCCATTATCTCAGAACAGGACAATGAAATACAGATTTGGATTTAAGAGTACTAATTTATGAATTGGTACTCAGGTTATCATGCCACAAACACAAAGTTGCTCTATAAGAAACTTCTGGTTCTCTGGACTTCCCTGGTGGCACAAGAGGTTCAGATGAAACCACTTATGAAACTCTTATTGCCAGCCACTGCAATAAGAGTTCCATCCCCAGCCATGGAGATACTCACATGCCACTGTAGACCCCTCATGTCTTGCCATCTGCTCCCCGTAGCAGTGTATTTTAGTCAGTCTGCCTGTTCTGTTCTCCACTCTCTCTGGTGGATCCTCTCAGCCCCCCACATGCATACCCCATTTCTTGTATGTATAATAAATAAATCTTTAAAAAAAATGAAAAAAGAAACTTTTGGTTCTGCCCACTCCCTTGGAGAATGTGTAACAGGGTAATACCCAGGGAAACGGGAGGTTCCAGGTTCCCTGGCCCACCCTAAGGAAGGGAAGAGCTGGGCAGGGAGGAGAAGCTGGAAGGAAGACTGGGACAAGGGAGGAGAGAGCAAGAAACCCTGGGGGAGGCACATGGAACAGAGAGACATGTGAAAAAGCTTGGTCTTGGACTTGTACCAGGGAATGGGTGACTCAGAAGGATGTGTATACTTGTAGAGATGTGGGTGAGGACCATGGAGAGCCTAGAAATGGCAGCCTTTATTTTGATTTTAACTTTGTTATTTTCTCTTCATGCTTATTTGCCTCCTCTGCCCTTTTTCCTGTGGGTTACCACCATAGGGACAGACTTGTGGCGGCTTTTGGGTGTCAGCATCACTGCTTTATGCAAACCCTGTTTGGTGGGCACTTACCCACAAGGGACTGGGTAACTTTGGGTGATTCAGTTGAAAACTATATTCCTTTTTTGCTCTTTATTGCATACAAATTGTATTAAAAGCTCTTTTGTATTGAATGTTTTATGTTTTAGAGTATATTTTGTCTTTATGCATGCATGGCAGAACCTATTTCAAGTAGCTAATTTGGGGGTTCCCTGCCCTGTAGCAAATGGAACCAACATATACCTTCTGTATCTGTCCAAGTGAAACATTATCAGGATTAGATTCATGTTAGGTAATGATAGGCAATTTCACAGGTAGTATTTGCGTATTTGAAAGTGTTTCGTTATTTTGAATAGGTGTTGAGTGGACCAATGTGCCAAATCTACCATGCTGATCATGGCTGAGAGTAGATGCCCATAAAGAAAAAGATGGAGAGAGGGTAAAGAGAACTTGGGGTACTATAATCAGACAAAATGCATGAGAGACAGAAAACTGTGAAACTACCTGTCAGTATTTTGAAAAATGATCATGAGTGAATCTATCAATATGAATCAAATAGGACTATCCTGAACAGAACTTAGAACTACTGTAAAAACAATCTTTCAATGACACCAACTAATCAGTGCCTTTGGGGTTTCTCAATTGTCTTTTTTTTTTCCTCTATTGAAATTCCGGTATATTAAAAGTTATCTAGTTTTATTTGGGTAGTAAACTGCCCAAATTGCACTGACATTTAAAAATAGGTGTTTATGTCTCATTCACCCATTTGTGGTTTGACTGTTTCAGTTAATATAAGCTGGGCAGGTATGGGCTTGCCTTCAGACCACAGAGTCAGCTCAGATTTTGTTGAAAATTATTTTGCTCTCTGAGCACTGAGCTACCAGATTCATTCACTTCTCATAGCAGAGATTAGCAGGTGGAACCTGAATCACCATACAGATAGGGAGGAATCAAAGTGATATAAAGTCTCAGGACATAGACCAGAGGCACACAATTGGGAGGAGAGGAGAGGGGTTGCAACCGGGAAGGGAAGAGCACAGAGACCATTGCGATGGCCCATGGGTTTGTGGTGATGGGAGAACTACATGGACTGTACCTGAAGGGAGAAAGCATATATAGTCCAAAAATGAACAAAGATACAAGAAAATAAATATAAGAAATAATTTTTAAAAATTTAGGATATGAACATTAAAACCAGATCATTTGAATGTAACTCTAACTGCACCCTATTAACCCCATGACTTCATTACATGAATTTTCTGGCTCAGATTTCTTTCTTATAAAATATGATGAAAATAGAATCTTATAAATTATAGTTATCTGCAAATTTGTTGAAAAACACTTGAAAATCATACTTTAGTGAAGTTTAAAACTAAACCCCCACTCTTGGCCCCGCAGACAGATCTGGGAGACTTGAAATGCTAAGGGGATGGATAAGCCTGCCTTGGGACAAGGCCACAAAACCCACCACCATGACTAGAAAGGCCATAAAACCCACCGCCATGACCAGAAAAACTAGCCCAGTTCCAGGAACACAGAAAGCAGAGACGAGGACATGTTTCAGTGACCAAGTCCAGTGCCACACCCCAGGCATCTCAGCAGAAACTGGTGCAAACTGGCCCCCCACGTTACAAAGCCTGTGAAACCTTTTCTCTTCTACATCTCTGGTGAATTCTACACACCTCCCCCTTTTCCCTCACCTTAGGCCTCACCTTGATCTTCTCCCCACAACAAAAGGTAAGAAAAGCAGGGCCTCCCTTGTGGCACAGGTAGTTTAGCACAGCACCATGAAGCTGTCCACAGTCTCTGCACTAGGTGTTCCTTCCAGGTCGGCCAGGGATATACCCACATGCCGTGGCAGACCTCTCCTGTCTTGCCAGCTGCTCCCCTCAGCAGTGTATTTCAGTCAGTCTGCCTGTTCGGTCCTCTCACCCTTCCACAGCTCTTGCCTGTACCCCGGTTCTTGTATACATAAATACATTTTTTAAAAAGTAAGAAGAGCAATTCTGGCCACATAAGCACTCACTAAATCACATTTATTTTTCCTGAAAACCTATGATTTAGTTTCATCACCTGACTTTTTTTGAAAATAATTATTGACATATACTATGTTCAGTAAAAAGCACATATATAAATAAAAATAAACACTTAAAATATTTGTTTTTTTATTTATGCATGCAAGAACTGAGGCATAGGCCAGAGGAGTAGGGGCAAGAGGATCACTTGAGACAAAGTGGGGAGCAGAACAGGTGGATCTTCTGAAATTCACTGCTGAGGAAGAAGCGGGCGAGATGCAGAGGTCTGCTGTGCCATGCGGGTCAGCTCCATGGCTGGGGATGGAACTCAAGCCTCAGCTGTGATAGTGTGATAGCTCTGAGTCTTAACCTGAAAAGGATATTCTTTGCTTCTTATTGAGTTCCAATTCATGCACCCTTCTTAGGTCACTGGATATTTTCACAGCTAGAAAGTCACAAATTATATATGCATATATATGTTTTTTATATATATATGTATGCATACACACACCCTTGTATGACTATTTATATATAGAGTAAATTATAGTTACTCTTAATATTTTGAGTAATTTGTGAGGCTTTATATTGTTTGACCATAGAGTTCATTCTTACCAGCACTTGTTTCTCATTGTTTTTGTTATAGAGCTATCACAGGTATGAGGTGGTATCTTCTTGGGGTCTTGATTTGCATTTCGATGATAATGATCATTTTGTCATGGACCTTCAACCTGTGTTTTAAAAGTCTATTTTTTTCTGCTCTCCCAATTTTTGGTTCAGTGAGATTTTTAAAAGTTACCTTTAAATTCCCTTACATAGGGCCTCCCTGGTGGGCATGGTGTTAAGCACTGCACTATGAAGCAATCCATAGCCTCTGCAGCATGAGTTCGATTCCTGGCCAGCCAGGGAGAAACCCACATGGCACATCAGACCTCTCCTGACTCGCCTGCTGCTCCCCTCAGCAGTGTACTTCGGTCAATCTGCCTGTTCTGTTCCACACTCTGTCTCTGATGAATCCTCTCACCCCACCACACCCCCATCTCTGGCCTGTGCTCCAGCTCTTGTATGCATAAATAAATATATTTTTTAAAAAAATGAATAAATTCCCTTACATAAATACACTTAGTTTCCTATTAAAACACAATTATAATCGGAGGATGAATGAATGAATGGTGGTTATATTTCAGTCACTGGAATGATGATATGGCTTAATATTGATTTTTCAATTTAGTTGAAATCTAAATAACTTATTTATAAAGAATAAAATTGAATGCAGGAATTTTCAGACTAGGGAAGAGATGTTGAGAAGATAAGTTGGTGTTGATCTTTGTTATAGTTATAGAAAATTTGAAAATGTAGATTTTTTGGAATAATTAGTGACAAACATCATTAAACACCCATTGGTAATGGAATAATAATATTAATTTTCCCATTGTAATATAAATTATATAATTAGGACATAGGGGAAAAGTGTATAATGTCAAGATTTATGAATGTTGCTTTATAGTAGAATTTACACATCTAAGAAGGTCTTAACAAAGCCTAAGTTTTCAGCATTTATGGTTGCTATGGAAACAAGTTACAAGCATGGGTGTTCAACACTTTTGTCCCTGATATATTTCAGAGGCATTTGAAAATGTAAAAAGTACATGACACAGTATAAACCCATCATCTCCTATAATCTGCAGGTGTGTGATGAGGTGAACTGTCTTCAAAATAGCCCAAGTGTAACAATTTCCTGTTCAAACTGCTAGTGACACATTCATGAGAAATCTACTTTTTCCAAGCTTGCTTCATTCTGAAACTTCACAGGGCAGTTCTAAAGATCACAGAGCAGAGATCAGAACAACAAGTGTGATCAGAAACAAATGCTGGTGAGGATGTGGAGAAGAGGGAACCCTCCTACACTGCAGGTAGGAATGCTCTGTGGGCCAGTCCCTGTGAAAATCAGTATGGAGGTGTCTCCTCCTTCACTCAAGGATGCACAGCTTCCTAGCCAACAGAAGGTATGTGTTGCTCCTCTCCTCTCTCTCTGCTGGTCCATGTCTTTTAGTGAAAGTTTTTGAAGATTAGGTGTGAGATAAGTGATATACAGTTCATATGCAATCAAATCAAAGAGAACATTGGTATCTTTATTTGAATAATTCAGGAAAAACAAAGAAGAATATTCCATAAAATGCTATTTTGCATTTAAAAGTATACAAAATGCTTAAAAATAAAGCATTGTACAAGAAAACCACACTAATAAAACAAACTCCTGTCTAATGAATTAGGTTACATGGTATAAATGTTGGGAAATGGGAAAAACATTGTGGGTGTATCAAAATAATAATTAAAATAAGGCATGTATTATTGACAGATGAGAAAAGTCAAGTTGAGTATCATATTTTACATGTATTATATCTTAGATATTCCTGTTTCCATTTTAGATTTGTAAACTAAAACTAAGTTGCAAGACTATATAAATTTTTTCTTTTTCCTTTCTCTTTTTTACTGAGTCAAAATTAAAATGTGATAGTATCAAAGTCAGAATTAATTCTCAATCTTACTTATCACAGAGTCTATTGAGTGAATCACTAAAATTATGATTTTTAATTTATTGCAATTGCTTGCACATAAGACACCATTCATTAACTTGGATAGTTATAGGATCTTTCTGGAAGTTTGAATCAATAATTAATGAACCAATAATGTACATATCATTTTATGTTTTTATCTAGCTGGTAAATCAATTACCAATTTCTTGTATTACTTAAAATTATGTATTTTAAAATATTTTTTTTCTTTTTTTTTAAATAATAAATTTTATTTTATATTCCCCATACAATTGCAGCCCCCCATTCTGACCCCAATTACTCCCCTCCCGCCCTGCCCCCTAAAAGTGTCTCTGGTTCATAGTTTTTGTTGATTTTGATTTTCACTTTCTTATAGTTATTCATTTTCCTGGTCCCTTATTTAAGTTTTCTAGATTCCTGCTATGAGTGAGACCATCCGGTATTTTTCTTTTTCTTTTTGGCTTATTTCGCTGAGAATGATCCCTTCTAGCACCACCAATGTTGCTGCGAATTGCATGTGTTTATCTTTTTGAATGCTGAGTAATATTCCATGGTATATATGTCCCACATCTTCTTGATCCAGTCATCTATTTTTGGGCATTTCGGTTGTTTCCAAAGCTTAGCTATTGTAAACAGTGCTGCTATAAACATAGGGGTGCAGGTGTTCTTTGGAATTGATGTTTCTGTGTCCTTAGGGTAAGTACCTAGGAGTGGAATTGCTGGATCATATGGAAGCTCTATGTTTTGTAGGTCAAGAAATCTCCACACAGCTCTCCACAGTGGTTGGACTAGTTTGCACTCCCACCAACAGTGCAGAAGTGTTCCTTTTTCTCCACACCCTCGCCAACATTTGTTGTTGCTAGTTTTTTTAATATGTGCCATTCTCACTGGTGTAAGATGGTATCTCATGGTAGTTTTGATTTGCATTTCCCTAATGACAAGTGATGTTGAACATTTTTTCATATGCCTGTTGGCCATTTGCATTTCCTCTTCAGAGAAGTTTCTTTTTAGCTCTTCTGACCATTTTTGACTGGATTATTTTCTTTGTTTTTGTTGAGTCTCATCAGCTCTTTGCAGATTTTTGTGATCAGTTCTTTATCATTAGTGTTGGGTGCAAAAATGTTCTCCCAGTTGGTGGGGTTTCTCTTTGTTTTTGTTATTGTCTCTTTTGCTGTGCAGAAGCTCTTTAATTTGATGTAGTCCCAGCTGTTTATCTTTGCCTTCACTATCATTGCCATCTATGACAAGCCAACAGCCAGTATCATTCTCAATGGTGAAAAGCTGAAAGCAAGTCCATTAAGAACAAGACAAGGATGTCCACTCTCACCACTGCTTTTCAATATAATACTGGAAGTCCTAGCCAGAGCAATAAGACAAGAGAAAGACATCCAAGGAATTCAAATAGGAAAAGAAGAAGTCAAACTATCACTATTTACAGATGATATGATAATATACATAGAGAACCCCAAAAACTCCACAGAAAAACTAATTCAACTCATCAATCAGTTCAGTAAAGTGGCAGGATACAAAATCAACACGCAAAAGTCAGTAGCCTTCCTATACACAAACAATAAATCTGAAGAAGAAGAAATCAAAAAAACCATCCCTTTTTTTATTGAAACAAAAAAAATCAAATATTTGGGAATAAATCTAACAAAAGAGGTAAAGGACCTATACAAAGAAAACTATAAAACACTGTTAAAAGAAATAGAAGAAGACACAAAGAAATGGAAAGACATCCCCTGCTCATGGATTGGAAGAATAAACATTATTAAAATGGCCATCCTTCCAAAAGCAATATACAGATTCAATGCTATTCCAATTAAAAATTCAATGTCATTCTTCAAAGAAATAGAACAATTATTGATGAAATTCATATGGAATCACAAAAAACCCCGAATAGCCAAAGCTCTCCTGAAAAAAAAAGAAGGGGATGGAGGCATCACACTCCCAGACTTCAAACTCTACTACAAAGCCATAATCATCAAAACTGCATGGTATTGGAACAAGAACAGACATACAGACCAATGGAATCGAATAGAAAATCCAGAAATAAACCCACAGATTTATGGTCAACTAATCTTTGACAAAGGAGCAAAGACTATGCATTGGAGCAAAGAAAGTTTGTTCAATAAATGGTGCTGGGAAAACTGGGTCGCTACATACAAAAGGATGAAGCTTGACCACTACCTCACACCATACACAAAATTCAACTCAAAATGGATTAAAGAACTAGACATAAGACCTGAAACCATAATATATATAGAAGGAAATATAGGCGAAACACTACGTGATTTGCACATCAAAGACATCTTTAAAATATTTTTTGTTCTGTTTTTGTTATTGATTTATGTTTTGGACAAGCTTAGCATACCAGTAACAAAATTTCTTTAAAATTTAAAACTTTCTCAGAATATCACAATAAAGAAAGGTATATTTCAAAAATAGCTTGAGATAATTTAATAACAACTCATCCCCTTTTAATAAATAGCAATAAATTACTAAATAAAAATTAGTGTAGGAAATGCTAACACTGCTATTTTCCAAATTAGAACATTCCAACTTTAACCATTAGTTTTAAAAATTGACATAAATATCATTGCATCATTTTTTTCTAAGCCAGCATTCTGATGTCAATACAGTTATACAAGTGATGCTAAGAGGCTGCTGTGAAATATGACTTTAAATTAATAAAGATAATATTGGTCATAAACTTCTTATTTTTGATTAAATTTTTTGCTTTTTGTTTTTCCAACCAATACTATTGTGTCAGCATGCAATATCTTTTTAAAGCTATCCTATCATGAAACATATGTTAAAGTTTCCTAGGAGTTTCTATTTTTAAATTTTCTCACTGAGGTAATATTTGTTTACATCATTGTCTGTATGTTGGAGTGATAGGATACGCCTCTGGTGATACCACCTTAGTGCTCTAGGACTTCAGACCAGACAGTGTGTTGTTCAACTGCAATATGAGTCTGTCACTCAACTCACGCTCCGCCCACAGTGATCTGGTCCTAGGCAACATTTATTAAGACTGAGAAGCATTTATCACAGAGCACAGATCCTGACTTTACAGAGCAGCAGCAATGAACAAGCAAAAAGTCACCTATGCAGAGCTGCAGCAGGCAGGGGTCTCAAAAAGACCTCAAGTGAAACCTAAAGAAAATAAAATCTCCACTACTGGAACGGAGCCGGGAGTAACCTACACAGAATTAAGTCTTCACAATGCTGCTCGGGATCCTCAGGAGAATGGCAAGTCCTATCACCTAAAAGGTAAAACATTGAGTAGACACACAGAACAACTGTTCTGGGAGATGCAGAGGGGAGGAGATCCACAAAGAATAGGGAATAAACTGACATGTTTTTCATTTGTGAGGCTGAAAATTTGGCATTGGGATATCGTGTTCTAGAGGGAGTCTGATGGCTATTTTTCCAGGTAGTGTTATAATTTGTAATTGTTGACAAGCAACAATTCATGGTTGTTTTGTTGACTAAAATAGGAATGGTATACTCTGGGGGAAAGATTCCAGTGGGAGAAGGAGGTCTGGGGTCCAAATTTACAAATGTGACTCCCTGTGCATGTAGATTTTGTTGTGTGTAAACTGAACAACTGTCTCCATCTGTCCTTTCTCAGTGTCTCCATTTCTCTCCCTGCAGGCTTAGCAGCACCTCCAGAGAAGTGCATTGCTGGGATCTTGGGACTCACCTGCCTTGTCTTGATATGCATTATTGTGCCCATGTGGGTTGACACCCGTAGGTAAATTTATGGAAGATTTTAATGGAACTTTTCACTTAATGATTGCCAGTGATTTAATTATTTCATAATATTAAGGAGTAGAACTATTTTGTTAATGTATTTGTTTAATTAAATGTTGCAAGGTTCATCTCACCTTCTCAAAAGTACAAATATACAGAATGATTGTTCAGATTACATTATGTAGATTCAGATTTCATGATTCAAATTCACACTTTAGAAGACTGAAAACTATGAAACAATTTTTGAAGTTTGGTAAATATATACTGTAAGAGATAGTGAAATTTGACTCTAAATTTTTGTGATGTTTTTTCCCAATCTTAATTATTTTATTAATTTTCAGGGAAAGTCAATCCTCTTTTATTACAGAAAGTCTTCAAAATACAACATTCTAACTTAGAAATATTATATTGATTAACACTCTTAATTTTTATAAGGATTATTTTATTTTTTCTAGATCTACTGAAGAACAAGAGAAGAATGATTCCTCCGCAGTAACAAACATCTGGAAAGGTACACAATGATTTCCAAAATTCTAATGTTAGCACAGTTTATATTATGTATATATGTTAGACTAGGTAATAATGGTAATAAATTTTCTCTTAGAACATACATTATAAAATCAAATAATACATATTCATGAATAAGGATAATAGGAGGGGTTCATCCTATCCAACAGCAGGAAGAAAATTAACTTAGTGGGTTCTGGACACAGAGATCCCTGTTCTAAAATTGTGAGTCAGGAGGGCACATCCTTGTGCCTGCAGTCTGCCCCTGTGGTGCCTGGATCCTCTCTGGCCCCAACTGGCAGTCAGATGGGGCCTGGGTTGCCAGGCATTTCAGCTCAGCTCTGACTAGGGGACAGCCCCTTCCCAGTTTCATACAGTCTAGATGGGTTCAAGAAAATTAACTTAGAACTTTCAAACCCATGTGGCCAGTTGGCTCAAGTCCTACTGCTATTATATGTATAAATAATGTTAATATTAAAAAATGACATTGTTTACTCTTTGTCAGGACATTTAGGTGGATATTTTTGTGTGACTTTGGTTCATATGGACACATAAATTATAGCATGAGAAGATGACCTTTCTCTGTGAGTGTGTGTTGTATGTGTCAGCCATGAGGTGTGTGTGTGTGTGTTATGTGCATGATTCTTCATATTTCTGCATGTATATGATATGTCTTATTCTATTAAACCAAATAGTTTTAGGTAATTACTCATAATTTCCCTTCAGCATGTCATTGTGGCCCTTGTCCAAAGGGGTGGTTTAAGTACTCCAACAACTGCTATTACTTTAGTGCTGAACAAAAAACCTGGAAGGAGAGCGTGATGGCCTGTCAGAGTAACAACTCTCAGCTGCTCTACATAGACACTGAGGAAGAAATGGTAAGAAATTGATTGTTCCAACCACATTATTGAAGACTTATTTCACTCAATTTTATATGTGTAGAACTCATAGATTTTTGGACAAATTTTTTTGTAGTTTATTTTAAAGTTTCTGTAATATTCCATTGTCTGATATTGAGGATTTTATAAAATCTTTGGTAAATGCATATTTAAAAACCCACTTCTTGGCTGGCTTTCTTAGAGAACCATTTTTCCCTATATATGTAATATATATATATATATATTATATTATATATATATATATAATGTGTGTGTGTGTGTGTGTGTGCATGTATGTGTGTGTGTTAAAGTTTGCTGTTTAATACACATCAAGAAAGACAAGCATATTGTGATCAGGCAGATTAGTCACCAAGTGAATGACAATTGTGTCTGCAGAGCAGATCCTGTGTAGAAGTCCCAGCCCCAGTGCACCCTAGACACCCTGTCTCTCTCTCTTCACTGCTGCTGTCTATTTAGCCACTGACTTGACTTTCAATTTCATAGATCTTTTCTCTTGTTTATGAACTGAAATGCAAACACTCCCCTATAATTCCTCAATAATTCCTCTGCATATTGCATTTATCTACTGTTTGCTATTTTTCACTGCAGAATTTTATCATATTACATTTTAAAATCCATTCTGCTTAATGTGTCAGGTGCCCAAAGTGAGTGTCATCTCAGAATAAAGAAACTTTCAGGGTTCAGTATTTTCAGTCATAGGAACCCCTTAGTTGTCCCATCTCCACCTTCCCAGCCCTGCTTTTGTGTTCCTCTGTGGTGGGAGGTTTAGTGTGTCCTGGCCGCTGACTCTTGTCACTGTCATGAGGCATCACTCTTTTCATGCTGCCTTGCTGTTGCTGCACAGGACCCCTCACCTCAGGGGAGTAATGGTTGCCCCGAGCCTCCTCCTTTTTGTAGGTTGATGGTGATGGGCCTCAGGCCTAAGTAAGATTTTCCTTATTCACATGACAAGAAGAATGAAGTTCCTAAGTATAAATGTTTAGGAGCTCATGTACTGGTGAGAGTTTTGGCTTCATGTCCACAGCTGTCAGCATACTATGTGAGATTAGAATCTGTCTCTTCCTTCTGAAAATGTAGAATAATTTGAAAGATCACATTACTTGTGTGTTTTTTTTTAATGAAGCCTTTCATCATTCCTATGTAAGTAAAAAATCTTTATGTTTGAATAGAAATTGATGAACTCCATATCAGTGTTTTCATGGATTGGAGTCTACCGTAACAGCAGCAATGAGCCATGGATATTAGTAAATGGGTCAACTTCCCATTTAGAGTAAGTTTTATTTAAATAATGTTATAGTACCATTAAAAAATGCGATTTTTTTCTTGATTTGCCCCAACATTATAGAACTTAAGAGAAGAAAGATATGAAAAGGATTACAAGAAGGATGTATTAGTGCTTTTGATTTAAATTATAGACATGAAGAATGATGCTGAATGCGAGTGGAATCTTGGGAATCTTGATAACTATTGAAGAAAGGGCAGCTCAGTTTGTCTAACTGATAACTCTTACAAATATTCTATAGAAATTGTCTTCATTCACTTTCAAAATATGCTTGTATCGCAATGAAGAGCGATGTTATTGTTTCTTGGTTTGCCCCAACATTACATAACAACAGAATTATGCCCTTTTCTTCATTACAGGATAAGAAAACCAGCATCTTCTAACTACCACTGTGTTATGCTACAATCTAAATATTATGCAGATAATTGTGAAGTTCTAAAGACGTATTATTGTAAGCATACGATTTAAATTAAAATAAAAAATCTAAGTTTGTATTTGTTTGCATAATTTTCCATTCAAGAAATAATTCTTATTATTCATAATATTTTTTTGTTCTAATGGCATTTTTTCAAAATAATTATTGAAATACACTATGTTCAGCCAGAGTACAGATAGCATTACTTTAGTGCCTGACCTTTTTTGCAGTGTTCAACCTTCAAAAAGATCATTTGTGGGCCTCCCTGGTGGCACAGGGCTTAAAAACAATGCTATCAAGCTATCACCAGCCACTGCAGTGTGAGTTGGATCCCCACGGACCAGGGAAAAATCCGCATGGCACAGCAGACCTTTCCTGTCGTGCTCGTTGCTCCCCTTAGCAGTGCATTTCACTAGATCTGCCTGTTCTGCTCCCCACTCCATCTCTGGTGAATCCCCTCACCTCCTGCAACTCTGGCCTACACCCCAGTTCTTTCATGCATAAATAAATCTTTAAAAAAATCATTTGTTGTGCGAGTCCAGTTATAAATGATGGCAAATTCACTTTCATATAGCATGTGGATTGGGGGTTGCCGGGGTCTGAGGGGAGGTGGAATGAGAAACTGGCCACTGATTAGTTCTCTGTTTCTTTTTGAAGTGATGGAACTTTTTTAGTGCTAAGTATAGTGATGTTTGCAAACTCTGAACATGTTAAATGTCTTTGATTTATTCACTTTACATGGCTCAATTTTATGCTTTATAAATTATATCTCAATAAAGTTGTTTTTAGAAAAATCTGTGATGACATTCGAGAGCATTTAATATTTAAAGTAATTTGGAGTTTAGTCATTTTTACCATATTTATTTTTTCAATCTACATCAACCTTAATCCTTCCTTAAATTTGAATTTTTTCTCATTATGCCTTGTTTTTACAAAAGACATAGAGAAACAATGTTATTACGCTTTAGTAAATGCACTTTATATGCAAAGGTTTGGAATATCTGTTAGCAATTTTTGGTGTTGTAAAAAGCAATACAGGGCCTCCCCGGTGGCTCAGCAGTTGAGCGCTGGGTTGTGAAGCTGTCCCCAGTGCCTGCAACGCCGGTTCGATCCCTGGCCACTGGGTGAGGGTCCCACATGGCATGCCGACCTCAGCAGTGTAATTCATCAGTCTGCCTGCTCTGCCTCCCGCTCTGGCTCTGGTGAATTCTCTTACCCTCCTGCACTTATGACTGTACCCAGTGCTTGTATCAATAAATAAATAAATAAATCTTTAAAAAAAAAAATAGAACTGAAGTTGGTATTGAATATATATGCAATGATTTTGCTGACATTATATATTTATTCTATAAATCAATATATGACTCTAATATAAGAATATATGAATTATGAATTTTGATTTGAATATTTATTTCTTATAAATAATCACACTTTTTTTCTTCTTTCCAAGTGTAATTACTTTTCTAATTGGCTTTTTATAGACCAGAGTTTTATTTCCATTATTGAATAGTAGTTACCATGATTGATCTCTATGTATTCCCATTTTAGGGAAAAATATTTCAATATTCATTCTTATATATGAAGTTTATTGTTATTTTTCGTCATCACTATCCAATTCATGTCATGCCATCACATTCTCATTTTTGATATTATGTTTTTATTTGTTTTGCATCAATTGAAATGAGAAATGTTTCTTTGTAAAACGTTTATGAAGTAGGGCTTCCCCGGTGGAGCAGCGGTTGAGCGCTGGGTTGCGAAGCTGCCCGTGGCCTCTGCAGCGCCGGTTCGATCCCCGGCTGCTCCCCGGCCACCGTAGGAGGGTCCCACATGGTGCGCAGACCTCTCCTGCCGCCCGCTGCTCCCCTCAGCAGTGTACCTTGGTCCTTCTGCCTGCTCTGCTCCCTGCTCTGGCTCTGGTGAATTCTCTCACCCTCCAGTGCTTCTGACTGTACCCAGTGCTTGTATAAACAAACAAACAAACAAATAAATAAATAAATAAATAAATAAATAAAAACATGCCTCTTTAAAAAAAAATGTTTATGAAGTAAATTATCTTTATTTCTTTCAAGTATCTAGATTATCTTACATTTTTGCAATAAAACTATAGCAATCATTCTGTGTGTTCTTTATCCATGTGTATGTATATGTATTTAAAGATTTATTTATTTATTTATACAGGCACTGTGTACATTCAGAAGCACAGGAGGGTGAGAGAATTCACCAGAGCCAGAGAGGGGAGCAGAACAGGCAGACGGACAAAATACACTACTGAAGGGAGCAGCGGGCGGCAGAAGAGGTCTGCGTGCCATGTGGGACCCTCACCTGGCAGCCGGGGATCGAATGGGCACTGCAGAGGCTGAAGGCAGCTTCTCAACCCAGCACTCAACCACTGAGTCACCGGGGAGGCCCCTATCCATGTATATATTTGATTTAGATCAGCACATTTTTCTTTCTTATTCACAAAAAGTTTAGATTAAGTTTTAATTCACAGCTATACATTAGACAGTTTTTGAATCAAGGCTACATTAGTAAGAATTACTGTTTTTCTACTACCTGGAATACACTAGTATTTAAGTGTTATTGCACTGCCGATGTCATCTGATCATGTAAACCTGTTTTAGGGAAGTTTTATGTTAAAACTCAGTAGCTCTAAAATACGCAGTGTCTTCAGGTAAAAGTATTTGCTGTACAACTTTTTGGTATTTACATTTTTTACAAACTTTCTGTTTCATATAGGCATAAAATATATTCATAATATTGGCTTATTGTCTGGTATACCTATTAAAAGCCATAATGGGGGAGCTTCTTCATGTTGCAGGGGGTTAGTCTCAGTTCTGTCAGACAATCCCCAGCCACTACAGATGAGTTAGATCCCAGGCCAAGGGGCAAACCCACTTGACTGTTCCTTCACTCAGCAGTGTATTTCAGTGGTCTGACTTTTCTGCTCCTCTCTTTGTCTCTGGTAATCCTCTTATCCGGGCACCTCTAGCCAAGAGCCCTTTATTTGTATGCATAAATAAATAAAATAAATCTTTCAAGAAAAACAAAAATCATAATGGTTTCTCACGCATAACCTAGGTACAAAAGACTTAAGTTCTCAATTGTTTTCTTCAAAAGTGTAATTGTTGTTATTTTTTACAATGAGAATACAAGTGCTTTGTTCATGTTCCTTAACAGTTTTGTTCTTTATCATTTGTTAGTGTTATTTATTTTTTCTTCTATTGTTTTAGACAAATTTTACTTATTTTTTGCTTTGCCATTTTCAGTTTCTTGGATGTATGATCACATTTCTGCTCTTTCAATTTTAGTGATATATATGCATTTAAGGCAATTTAAATCCAAAGATAGAACATTACTTTCATATTTTCCTTTGAATTCATATGATGTTGTGACATATATTTTGATCATCTCTTTGACTCATAAAATGAATAGACATCACTGTATTCAAAATCATACAGGGATTTCATTTTTTATGGTTACTTCTATTTTAGGTAAACTCTCTTATAGAATTTTCTTTGAGGCTAGAATGTTTTACGTTTCTTTTAATAATGACTACCGTGACTTTGTACTTTAAAAACCTACTTTTTCTGAACCCCAAATTTTGGTTAAATGATATTTTAAAAAAATCAACTCCTTTTCCCCCATAACTGTTAGGGTTGGACTATTGTCATATTTACAACAAATATTCCTATGAAGTATAGACATTTTGTAAATAATCACTCGTGTTGATTATGTTATGATTATAACATGGATTAATAAAAAGTATAATAAGAAATTAGTTAATATTTTCAATCAGGGAATGGTGATATAATTCAATAGTTTGGAAAAAGTTATCATGTCAAGAGACAAATTTTTATCAGTGGAAATCTAAACAACTGTTACAAATTGCCTCCCCAGTGGCGCAGCGGTTGAGCGCTGGGGCGCTGGGTTGTGAAGCTGCCCGCAGCCTCTGCAGCGCTGGTTCGATCCCCTGGCGCGCAGACCTCTCCTGCCACCCGCTGCTCCCCTCAGCAGTGTATTTCGTCAGTCTGCCTGATCTTCTCCCCACTCTGGCTCTGGTGAATTCTCTCACCCTCCCGCGCTTCTGTCTGTACCCAGTGCTTGCATAAATAATAAATAAATAAATCTTAAAGAAAAAAAAAAACAACTTTTACAAATTGCAAAACTGGCTGCAGAGAAATAGAGAAGAAAAGCTTGGGAGCTGGTGATCAAGGGGATATTGTAATACAGTTGAAAATGTAATTCTTCAGAAAATTTGTGATATCTTGTTTAAAACATAATTAATAACATCTTATTTAATATATATTAGTTAGGGGATTATGGTTTTAGAATGTTTCCATAAAATAGAATTGACATATGAGAGTATAGGAAAACAATATGTGATGCCAAGACTCAGCAACCTTGTCTACCAGTGAAACATCCAATAGACAATTAACTAAAGTTTTTGTGTTTGTGGTTTACATGGAAGCAATTTGAAAGCAAATATTGTTAAGTTTTTTGTCCCCTCATATCTTTTAGAATGGGAACACAATTTCTTAGAGACATTTGTCAATGGACAAACTAAATGACATAGTACAAGTTCAGTCTCCTCTGCTCTGGAGGTGTGTGATGAGAAACTGCCTTCACAATAGCTAGGATTTCCTGTTCAAGGTTTAAGTGACACTTTGACAAGAAATTTACTTTTTTCCAGTGTGGCTTTACTTTGCACCTTCAAAGGAGAGTCTGTGTAAACCACAGATGTTGTTTGTTTGTTTCCAAGAGTAGCCAGGTCTCCCACTAGAGGATACTCCATTCTTTGGCCAAGAGAAGGTATGTGTTCCTACTCTCCTGTCTTTCTACCAGCTCACTTCACAGATCACGCATGCAGTATATGATGCAACAGTTGCTATGCAATCGAATTACAGAGAACTTTGGTATATTTATTAAATAATTCAGGGTGGGAAAATAAAATAAAAATGAAACATAGATTATCTTAAATATTCAAGTGCTTTACTGTGGAGAATTACTCAAGTGCATAAATACAAGGATAATTGGGTTTTAAATCAATACAGTGTTATTTGAAATCCCATGAGCATTGTGACACAAACAGTTTATTTTGGAGTTTGATCTAAACATAGCCAAAAATATACTAAACAGTGATATAGAGACTCCTGTGTAAGGAACTCTGTTATATGGTCTAACTGATATGAATCAGAAATAACTATGTCAGTTTGTCAGAACAATAATTAAAATAACTTACTTTGAGAGCTTATAAAAGGCAGGTTGAATGTTAGGGGTTTTACATGTATATCTTATATGTTTTTATTCCAGTTTTAGATTTGTAAGCAAAATTAGTACACTCTATGTAACTTTTGTAGGTTTTAAAGCCAGAATAATTTCAGATTCCATTCTGTGCGGACCTCAATTATTCAAGTATCAAATTGCATTATCTGATTTATTACAATCAAAATCCTTTTGGAAATTTGAGCCAACAGTTGACCCTTAAAAGATTTTTATCTTTTTTTTTTTGCTTTTATATCTTTTCCATTCACTCATTTACCAACTTCTTATATGAAATAAATGACATTTCACAATCTTTGAATTGTCAATATTGTTTAGGATTTCAAGAAGTTAATGTCACATATTCTATATAGTAATCTTCCTGAAATTTTTAATTATTTCATAGAATCTTACAATATTTTGAGAAAAAATATCATATTTTAATCTTTAGTTCCTTTTAATAATAAATGTTATTCACAATATAAATGTAATTTAGAGTTGGGAATTAATATATATTTAACACAACTGTTACACACTATAGAATATCAGTTAAATTATTAATAGATATAAAAATTGCAAAAGCATATAGTTTTCTAATATAGCACTTTAAGACAGTTATTCTGATAGTTTCAAAATATTTTGTACAATGATGATTTTAAATTAGTGTGGATGTTACTATTTGTGGACTTCATGTCATTGATATTTGGTCTTCAGGTCCCCCAAGCATTAGAAATGTGTGAAAAATAAAATATAATTTTAGCTCTAAGGAAATTTTAATCTGATCGCCCATTATTCAACTGCAATATGAGTTTATAACTCTACATGCTCTGCCCACATGACTACTCTAGGGACCTGGTCATCAGGCTCATCATTTAGTAAGACTTGCCTGCAGCTATCAGAGAGCTCCGTCCTGACACCGCTTAGCTGCAAGGATGAATGACCAAACAGAGAGCTACCCAGAAGTGAATCTGGACCCAAGAGGAGAGCAAATGAAAGGTAAGGGCACATAAAGCTCCACTTCATCAACAGAATAGCTAACAACCTCTGTGGAATGACATCTTCAAAATACTTCTCAGCATCTTAAAGGTAGTGACAAGTACTATGTATGCAAAGATAAAACATTTAATAGACAAGCATGTAACTGTTCTGGGCTGTAGGATTGGGGTGGTGCTATGTGGCAAAAGTGGGGGATAAGCTCACAGAGCTTTCCCCTATGAGAGTTGGAACTTGAAATATGACTATGTCATTCTAATCTGAAATGTGAGCATGAATTTTGATCCTGTATTGTTGGAAGTTGGAGTCTTTGACAATATCTCATAGAGCATTATGTTTACTGAAAACATAGCATATATTCTGAGGCAAGATTACAATGGGAGATGTGGATTTAGGATCCAACATTCCATATGTGACTCCTTATGCAGGCGGGTTTTCATGTTTGTAAACTGTCAACATTTGTCTCCGTTTTTTTCTCAGTGTTTCCATTTCTCTCCCTGCAGACTCACCATTACCTCCAGAGCAGATTTCTGAGGTCCTGGGGATCGTCTGCCTGGTCTTGGTGTCCACTATAGTAAAAATCATAGTTCTTACTCCTGGTGAGAAAATTGTGAAAGATGATAAGTGATGAAGTTTACACTTGATGGTTATCAGTGCTCTAGAAAGTTCAGACATTAAGGAGAACATTCATTTTTAATGTATGATTTTAATGAAGTGTTGAATGCTTGTTCTGAATTTGTCGAAGTGTAAACATGCAGAATGATTATGGAGAGTATTTTGTAGATTCATATAGTATGATTCAAGGACATGCTTTAGGAAACTGAAAGAGCAAACTGACAACCAGGATTCATTTTTGAAAATCAGTAACCACATACTATAGGAAAAGGTGAAATATGACTCTAAATTTTTTTGATATTTTCCCCTAAAGCTTTAATCTTTTAGCAATTTTTTTCAGAAACTCAACTTTATTATATATTATTACTATAATCCTACCAGCATACAACATTTCTAACTTATAAATATTATACTGATTATTATTTACTTAGAACTCTATTAAAATTATAAGGATCATTTTATTTTTTAGCTGCTACTGAAGATCCAGAGAAGAATGATTTCTCCACAGTAACAAATAGCATGAAAGGTACACAATGATTTCCAAAATTCTGATGTTATCACAGTTTATATTATGTATATATGTTAGACTATGTAATAATGGAACACAATTTCTGGTAAAAATACACTATGAAATCAAATAATAAATGTCCATGAATAATGATAATAGGAGGGGTTCATCATATTCAACAATAGGAAGAAAATTCACTTAAAACCCCACCCATGTGGCCAATTGGCTCATGTCCTGCTGCTATTATATGTATAAACAATTTTACTACTAAAAAATGACTTTATTTACTCTTTGTCAGGACAGTGGGTATTTTTTGTGTGAGATTGGATCATATGGACACATAAATTATAGCATGAGAAGCTGACCTTTCTCTGTGAGTTTGTGTTGTGTGTGCCAGCTGTGAGGTGTGTGCATGTGTTATGTACATGATTGCTCATATCTCAGCATGTATATGATATGTCTCATTTTATTAACACAGACAGTTTTAGGTAATAATTCATAATCTTTCTTCAGCATATCATTGCGGCCCTTGTCCAAAGGGGTGGTTTTCGTACTCCAACAACTGCTATTACTCTAGTGCTGAACAAAAAACCTGGAAGGAAAGCGTGACAGCCTGTCAGAGTAAGAAGTCTCAGCTGCTCTACATAGACACTGAGGAAGAAATGGTAAGAAATTCAGTGTCCCAACCACTTTATTGAAGACTTATTTCACTCAATTTTGTATTTGTAGAACTCATAGATTTTTGGACAAATTTGTAGTTTATTTTAAAGCTTGTATAACATTCCATTGTCTGATATTGAGGATTTTATAAAATCTTTGACTGGTTAATGCACATTTAAAAACCCAATTATTGGCTTACTTAGAGAACCATTTTTCATATATATATTTTTTTTCACACATACCTATATGACAACTATGAATTTATATAATGTGTGTATATATGTATTAAATAAAGACTGCTGTTTAATCCATATCAAGAAAGGCGAGCATATTGTGATCAGGAAGATTAATCACCAAGTGCAAGAAAATTGTGTCTGCAGAGTAGATCCTCAGTAGAAGTGCCAGCCCCCAGCACACCCCAGACATGCTTTCTGCTCTCTCTTCACTCCTGCTCTGTTTATTTAGCCACTGACTTGACTTTCAATTTCATAGATTTTTTTTCTTGTTTATGAAATGAAATGCAAACATATGGTATATACTTTGTCCCCATCATGTTACTCCCTTATAAGTCCTCAGTAATTCCTCTGCATATTGCATTTATCTTCTGTTTGCTAACTTTCACTGCAGAATTTTATCATATTACATTTTAAAATCCATTCTGTTTAATGTGTCAGGTGCCCAAAGTGAGTGGCATCTGCTCAGAGATAAAGAAACTTCTAGGGTTCAGTATTTTCAGTCATAGAGCCCCACAAGTTGTCCCATCTCCACCTTCCCAGCCCTGCTTTTGTGTTCCTCTGTGGTGGGAGGTGAAGCGTGTCCCTGGCTGCTGACTGTTGTCACTGTCCTGAGGCATCGCCATTGTCAGGCTGCCCTGCTGTTGCTGCACAGGACCCTCACCTCAGGGGGGAAGAGCTGCCCCTAGACTCCTCCTGTTGTAGGTTGGTGGTGACGGGCTTCAGCCTAAGTAAGATTTTCCTTATTCACATGTTCACATGACAAGAATAATGAAGTTCCTAAGTATAAATGTTTAGGAACTCATGTACTGGTGAGGGTTTTGACATAATGTCCACAGATGTCAGCATACTATGTGTATTGGTGTGAGATTGGAATCTGTCTCTCCCTTCTGAAAATGTAGAATAATTTGAAAGATCACATTACTTGTGTCTTTTTTTTTTATGAACCCTTTCATCATTCCTATGTAAGTAAAAATTCTTTATGTTTGAATAGAAATTGATGAACTCCATGTCAGTGTTTTCATGGATTGGAGTCTACCGTAACAGCAGCAATGAGCCATGGACATTTGTAAATGAGTCAACTTCCCAACTACAGTAAGTTTATTTAAATAATGTTACATAAGAGAAGAAAGGTATAAAAAGGAACATAAGAAGAATCATATTAGTGCATTCGATTTCAATTATAGACATGAAGAATGTTGTTGAATGTTAATGGAATCTTGAAAAATATTGAAGAAAGGACAGCTCAGATTGTCTAACTCCTAATTCTTACAAATATTCTATGAAAATTGTCTTTATTTTCAAATTATACTTGTATTGAAGTTAAGGGTATATGCTATTGTTTCTTGACTTATCCCAATGTTATATAACAACAGAATTATACATTTGTCTTTATTTCAGAATAAGAGACTCATCATCTGATAATTCTCACTGTGTTATGCTACATAATGAACATTATGCAGAGGACTGTGAAGCTCCACATATGTATTATTGCAAGCATAAGTTTATATTTTAAAAAAAAACTAAGTTTGGTGGTTGAGCTCAGCGCAGCAGACCTCTCCTGTCTCACCCCCTGCTCCCCTCAGCAGTGTATTTCGTCAGTCGGCCTGTTTTGTTCCCTGCTCTATCTCTGGTCAATCCTCTCACCCTCCCATGCATCTGGCCTGTACCTCCCATCTCTTTTATAAATACATAAATAAATCTTGAAAACAACAAAAACAGCAAGAACAGCAACCAAAAAAAAAAAAAAAAAACTAAGTTTGGATTTATTTGGGTAACTTTCTTTTATAAAAATTATTTATTTATATAAATTTTACATCATTGTTCTTTTTTATAATATTTGCTTTCCTTTTTCAGGTGTAGTCCCCATAGAATTTCCACCACCAATTCACTCTTGCACTATCACCATAGTCCCTTGTGTTCTTCTCACCCTCTTTTTGATTCCTCTCTCTCTCTCCCTCCCCTGCAGAATGTCTCTGATTGATAGTTGTCTATTTTTGTTTTGTTGTGCTGTATTTTTTTATTGTTGTGATTTATTTTCCCTGATGTCTTATTTGATTCTCCTATATTCCTGCTATATGCGAAACCATCCTATATTTTTCTTTGTCTTTCTGACTTATTTCACTGAACATAATCCCTTCTAGCTCCATTCATGTTTCTGTGAATGGCATGAGTTTATCTTTTTTGATTGTTGAATAGTATTCCATTGTGTCTTATACCACATCTTCTTGATCCAGTCATCTGTTTTTGGGCATTTGGTTTTGTTTCCATGTCTTACCTATTACAAATAGTGCTGCAATAAACATAGGGGTGGAGGTATTCTTTTGAATTAATGTTTTTGTGTCTTTTGGGTAGATCCCTACGAGTAGAATTGCTGGGTTAAATAGTAGCTCCATTTTTAGTAGACTGAGGAACCTCCATACAGCTTTCCATAGTCGTTAACTGTTGGAGACCCTAAGGCACGCAGTGTTGAGACAAGGAAAACATCAAGGTCATGGCTAGAAAACTGGTCAACTCGGTAGGAAGACTGGCCCGTGTACAGATCAGGAAGTCTTTTATTGCGTCTACGAAGCTATGTCTGGGGGACAAACTAGATTAGAAAAAGAAACAGAATCATCTGATGGTGCAGAACCTAGGTGGTGAATGTGAGCCCGACAAGGCCCAATGCTAGGAGAATCCTTCATTGTCTAGCAACTAACCTGGGGTGGGGGCGGGGGGAGGCTGCTTGTAGTAATAAAAATGAGTTGCACGGGATACTCGGGATGCTTGAGCATGAATGAGAAGCCTTGGGTGCCCTGGGTCCCGCTTCTCTTAAACTCTATTTTGCATCTGTCATTTCTTTATTATTTCCTCAGTTCAATCTGATTTCTCTCTAAACTCTGTTCCCCAGAACTGGACTCTGGCAGTTAACCAGTTTGCACTCCCACTGGCATGTGGGTGACTTCATATCCCACAACACATCCTTGCCAATATTTATTGTTGCTAATTTATCATCATCTAATTTAAAATTATTAGATAATTTATCTAATATTAGACAATTTATCACATATTAGATAAAACTTTCCTGGATAACTTTCGTTTTCAAGAAATAAGTATTAAAATTGATTTTGTTGTTATGACCTTTTTTTCAAAATAATTGTTGAAATATACTATGCACAGAAAAAAAGTCCAGATAGCATTACATTTTTTGTTTAGCATTTCATTTGTGGCATCCAACCTTCAAAAGATCATATATTGTATGAGTCCATGTATATATAATGGCAAACTCATAGATACAGAAACTGGATTGACGGTTGCCAGGGACTTCGGGGAGATGGGATGAGGAACTGACCACATATTGATTCCCTGTTTCTTTTTGAAGTAAGGAACTTTTTTCCGTGCTAAGAGTAGTGGTGTTTGCAAACTCTGAATATGCTAAGAATCTTTGATTTATTCATTTTGAATGGTTGAATTTATGCTTTATAAATTATATTTCAATAAACCTCTTTTCAAAATTTCTGTGACGTTTGAAAACATCTTTAAAGTAATTTGGAGCTTAGTCATCCTTACCATATTTATTCTTTTAATCTACATCAACCTTAATTCTTCCTTAAATTTCTTTTTTTTTTCTCTATTATGCTTTGTATTTTTTACAGAAGTCATAGGGAAATGATGTGATGGTTTTGTAATGGCATTTTATTTTAAAATGGCTAGGATGTCTGTTCATAATTTTAGTGCTGTAAAAAGCAATACAACTGAAGTTGGCTCATTGATTTATATGCAATATTTTTACTGACTATGTATTTTTCTATCAAATATATGAATCTAGTACATGAATATATAAATCATTAATTTTGATGTAAATAAGTACTTATTGCAAATAATCACACTTTGTTTCTTCTTTCAAAGTACAATTCCTTTTTTTTTTTTTTTATTGGCTATTTACAGATCAGAATTTTACATCCAATGTTGAATAGAAGTTACCATAATTGATCTCTGTGTATTCCCATTTTAGGGAGAAAGATTTCAATATTCATTCTTAGATATGAAGTTTATTGTAACTTTGTCATCACCACTCTCAAATTAATGTAATTCCATCACATTCTTTTTTGTAAAGTTTTTTTAAGTTTGATGTTATTTTTTTATTCATTTTGCATCAATTGGAATGTGATGTTTTCTATAAAATGTTTGTGAAGTAAATTATATCTTTGAAATACAAGATCATCTTGCATTTTTGAAGTAAAAGTATAGCAATCATTTTATGTGTTTTTTATGCATGTATGTATTTTATTTAGATCAGCATTTTTCTTTGCATTCACAAAAAAAATTAGACTATGTTTTAACTCACAGCTACATGTTTGACATACATATATCAAGGCTACTGTAAAAAGAATTCCATTTTTCTATTAGCTGGAGGCCTTTGTGTAAAAGCACTGGTGAATGTAAGTGTTATTTCACTGCTGATATGATCTGAGCAGTAAACCTGATTTATGGGAGTTTTATGTAAAAATTCAAAAGCTCTAACTCATATGAAATTTCTTCAGGTAGAACTATTTGCTGTACAATTATTTGGTGATTACATTTTCTACAAATTTTCTATTTCATATAGACATTAAAATATATTCATAATACTGGCTTTTTGTCTGGTGTACCTATTAAAAATTGTAATGGGGGGGGCCTCCCTGGTGGCGCAACGGTTGAGCGCTGGGTTGCGAAGATGACCGCAGCCTCTGCAGCGCCAGTTGGATTTCCAACCACTGCCGGGTGAGGGTCCCACATGGCACGCAGACCTCTCCTGCGCCCGCTGCTCCCCTCAGCAGTGTACTTCGTCAGTCTGCCTGTTCTGCTCCCCGCTCTGGCTCTGGTGATTCTCTCACCCTCCTGCACTTCTGACTGTACCCAGTGTTTGTATAAATAAATAAATAAATAAATAAATCTTTAAAACATCTTAATGGGGGGCCTCCCTGGGTGTCACAGGGGTTAGTCTCAGTGTTGTCAAGCAATGGGCAGGAGCTATACCAGGAGTTCGATTCCAAGCCAGGCAGCTAACCCACTTGGCACAGCAGACCTCTCCTGATTTGCCTGTTCCACCCCTTGGTGTGTATTTCAGTAGATCTGCCAGTTCTGCTCCCTACTCTGTCTCTGGTGAATCCTCTCACATCCTGCACCTCTAGCGAATAGACTTTATTTGTATGCATAAATTAATAAAATAAATCTTTTAAGCAAAACAAAAACCATAATGATTTTCTCATACATAATCTAGGTACTAGAGACTTAGTTTCTCAATTGTTTTCTTCAATAGTGTAATTGCTGTTATTAAGTTTTTACAAGGAGAATATGTTTGCTTTGTTCATATTCTTTAACAATTTTGTTTTTGTCATTTGTTTGGGCTATTTACTTTTTCTTCTATTGTTTTAGACAAATTTTACTTATTTTTGGCTTTGCCATTTTCGGTTTCTTGGATGCATGCTCAGATTTATGCCCTTTCAATTTTGAGCGATATATGCATTTAAGGCAATTTGAGTTCAAAAGATAGAATATTACTTTCATATTTTCCTTCTGATTAATATGATGTTGTGAACATACATTTTTAGCATCTCTTGACTCATAAAATACACATTTCACTGTATTCAAAATCATGTAGGGATTTTATTTTTATAGTTACTAACTCTATTTTATTTGAATCTATTAAGAATTTTCTTTGAAACTAGAATATTTTACATTTCTTTTAATAATGAGTAGTGTGACTTTGTGATTTAAAAACCTACTTTTTCTGGGGATCCCTATTGGCACAAGGGATTAAGCACAAAACTGTGAAGCTATCCTTAGCCTCTGGAGCACATTTCAATCCCTGGCCTTCCAGGGAGCTACCCATGTGGTGCAGCAGACCTCTCCTGTCTCTGCCTCTGCACCCCTCAACAGCATATTTCAGTCAGTCTACCTGTTGTGCTCTGTCTCTGGTATGAATCTTCTCATCCCCCCACATCTGCTACACCTCTGGCTTACCCCCCAGTTCTTGTATGCATAAATAAACAAATCTTTAAAAAAAAAAAAAAAAGAAAAAAATAACTTTTTCTGTCCTCCAATTTTTGGTTAGGTGATATTTTAAAAAAATCAACTCTTTTCCCCTCAACAGTTAGGGTTGGACTTTTGTCATATTATATTTATATTTATATTTTGTCATATATCAACAAATATTCCTTGAAGTACAGAATTTTTGTAAATAATTACTCTTGTTGATCATGTTATGATTAAAGGATGAATCAATGAAAAGCATATTCATAAATATTAAATATTTCAATCATGGAATGGTGATATAATTCAACCATTTTTAAACCTTTGTCATACCAACAGATAAACTTTATCAGTGGAAATCTAAACAACTGTTTACAAATTAAAAAAAACTGACTGCAGAGAAATAGAGAAGAAAAGCTTGGGAATTGGTGATCAAAGAACTATTGTAATAAAGTTGAAAATGTAATTCTTCAGAAAATTAAGTGACATCTTATTTAAAGCATATTACTTAGGGGATTATGGTTTTACAATGTTTCCATTAAAATAGAATTGGTATATGAGAGTATAAGAAAATGATATGTAATGGCAAGACTCAGCAAACTTGTCTAGCAGTGAAACATCTACTAGACACTTAACTAAAGTTTTTGTGTGTTTGTGGTTGAGATGGAAGCAATTTAACAGCCAAGTATGGTTAAGCCTTTTGCTCCCTGATATATTTCAGAATAGGAAGACAATTTCTTAGAGGCCTTTGTCAATGGACAAACTAAATGACATATTACAAGTCATTCTCCTCTGCTCTGGAGGTGTGTGATGAGAAACTGCCTTCACAATAGCTAGGATTTCCTGTTCAAGTTTTAAGAAACACTTTGACAAGAAATCTACTTTTTTTCCCAGTACTGTTTCACTCTGTACCATCACAGAAGATTCTGTGTAAACCACAGATTTTGTTTGTTTGTTTCCATGAGTAACCAGGTCTCCCACAAGTGGATACTCCACTCTTTGGACAAGAGAAGGTATGTGTTCCTACTTTCCTCTCTCGCTCTAAAAGCTAATCTCATTGATCACAAATGCAGTATATGATACAACATTGCTGTGCAATCAAATTGTAGAGAACGTTGATATCATTATTATATAATTCAGGGTGGGAAATAAGCATAAATATGAAACATATTATAGGTTATCTTAAATATTCAGGTTATTTACTGTACAGATTTCCTCAAGTGCACATATACAAGGATAATCAGGTTTTTAAATCAATACAGTCTTGTCTGAGATCCCATAAGAATCGTGACAGGCAACTGTTTATTTTGGAATTTGCAATCAGTGCAGATAAAATAACATATCATTTAGTGTTTAGTCCCGACTTTAAACAAGATTTTTTTTATTATTTTTTATTTTATTTTAATTTTTTATTTTTTTTAAATAATAAATTTTATTTTTATATTCCCCATACAATTGCAACCCCCCATTCTGACCCCAATCCCTCCCCTCATGCCCCCACCCCCCAAAAAGTGTCTCTGGTTCATAGTTTTTTGTTGATTTTGATTTTCACTTTCTTATAGTTATTCATTTTCCTGGTCCCTTATTTAAGTTTTCTAGATTCCTGCTATGAGTGAGACCATCCGGTATTTTTCTTTTTCTTTTTGGCTTATTTCGCTGAGCATGATCCCTTCCAGCGCCATCCATGTTGCTGCAAATTGCATGTGTTTATCTTTTTTGAATGCTGAGTAATATTCCATGGTGTATATGTAAACAAGATTCTTAAAGTAAATTCATTTAATCAGGAAGGTAAAATGTAATTCCTTATACACTTTCTTTATCTTAATAAAACCAATTTAATTATTTATACAAATAAGAATGAATAGTCTATAAAATTCTAACTTACTTTTAAAATGTCAAAAGTTTTTTTTTTTTTTTAACTTATTAAATTGAACTCAGCATAGCCAAAATATACACAACACTGATAAAGAGACTCCTGTCTAAGGAACTATGCTATATGGTTTAACTGATATGAATTAGATATAACTTTGTCAGTTTGTCAGAACATTAAATAAAATAACTGAGCTTAGAAAGGGCAGGTTAAAAATTAGTGATTTACATGTATATTTTATATGTTTTTATTCCAGTTTTAGATTTGTAAGCAAAATTAGTATACTCTACATAACTTTTGTAGGTTTCAAAGCCAGATTAATTTCAGATTCTACTATCTGTGGAGCTCATTGATTCTATCATTAAATTGCATTTTCTGTTTTATTACAATTAAAATCCTTGTGGAAGTTTGAGCCAACAGCCCTTAAAAGATTTTTATCATTGTTTTTCTTTTTTCTCTTTTCCATTCACTCATTTACCAACTTCTTGTAAAAAATAAATGTCATTTCAAAACCTTTGCCTTGTCAATATTGTTTAGGATTTCAAGAAGTTAATGTCACATATTCAATATAGTAACTATTCCTCAAAATTTTAATGATTTCTTACAACTCTACAATATTTTGAGAAAATATTTTATTTTAACCTCTAGTCCCTTTTATAATATTTTTATTCACAATATAAAGGTAATTTAGAGCAAGAAATTAATATATATCCTAGCACAACTATTGCACACTATAGAATGTCCGTATAATTATCAATACATAAAAAATTGTACAGCTTAGCACATCATTTTCTTATGCAGCACGTTAAGACATTATTCTGATAGTTTCAAAATGTTTTATGGATGATGATTTTAATAAGTGTGGATGTTATTATTTGTGAACTTTACACCATTAATATTTGTTCTTCTATTCCCCCAAAACATTAGAATTATGTGAAAAATAAAATAGCATTTTTAAAATTATTTCTTATTATGCAACACATTTTGTTAAGCTCTAAGGAAATTTTAGTCTTACTTGGCCATCATTCAACTGCAGTATGAGTTTATTACTCTACATGCTTCACCCACGTGACTAGACTAGGGATCTGGTCATCATGCACAGCATTTAGTAAGACTTGCCTGCAGCTATCGGAGAGCTCTGTCCCTGACACTACTCAGCTGCAAGGATGAATGACCAAACAGAGAGCTACCCACAGGTGAATCTGCACCCAAGAGGACAGCAAATGAAAGGTAAGGGCACATAAAGCTCCACTTCATCAACAGAATAGCAAATAACCTCTGTGGAATGACATCTTCAAAACACTATTCAGGACCTTCACGGGAATGACAAGTACTATGCGTGCAAAGATAAAACATTTAATAGACACATATGTAACGACTCTGGGCTGTGTGATTGGGGTGCTGATGTGCGGAAAGAGTACGGGGTAAGCTCACATTGTTTTCAAGTGTGAGAGTTTAAGCTTGAAATATGACTATGTCATTCTAATCTGAATTGTAAGGACTAATTTATTCCTGTATTGTTAGAAACTGGAGTCTTTGATAACATCTCATAGAGCATTATGTTTACTGAAACGCAGAATATTCTGGGGGCAAGATTACAATGGGACTGGGATCCAAACTTCCATACTTGACTCCTTGTGTAGGCGGGTTCTCGTGTCTGTAAACTGTCAACATTTGTCTCCCTTTTTTCTCTGTGTTTCCATTTCTCTCCCTGCAGACAGTCTATTACCTCCAGGGAAGATTGCTGCTGAGGTCCTAGGAATCATCTTCCTGGTCTTGGTATCCATTGTAGTAAAAACCATATTCCTTATTCCTGGTAAGACAATTTTGAAAGATTATTAGTGACATAGTTTATACTTGATAGTTACTAGTGCTATAAAAATGTTCAGACATTAAGGAAAACATTCATTTTTAATGTATGGTTTTAATTAAGTGTTGAATTGTTGTTTTGAATTTGTCAAAGTGTAAATACGCAGAATGATTATGAAGATTATTTTACAGATTCATATATCATGATTCAAGGACATGCTTTAGGAAATTGAGAGACCCAATTGAGAACTATGAATTTATTTTTGATAATTGGTAACACTGTAGGAGATGGTGAAAATTGACTCTAAATTTTTGCAGTATTTTCCCCAAAGATTTATTATTTTATTAATTTTCAAAGAAAGTACTGTATTATAGAGTATTTCTATAACCATACCAGCATACAATATTTCTAACTTAGAAATAGTATACTGATTAGTATTTGAGAATGCTACTCATTTTTATAAGGATTATATTATTTTTTCTAGCTACTACTGAAGATCCAGAGAGGAGTGATTCCTCCGCAGTAACAAACAGCCAGAAAGGTACACAAAGATTTCCAAATTCTGATTTTAGTTCAGTTTATACATATATATATATATTTATATTAGACTTATAATAATTATAACAAATTTTCTGTTAGAACATACATTATAAAGTCAAATAATAATGTTCATGAATGATGATAATAGGAGGGGTTCTTCATATCCAACAACAGGAAGAAAATTTACTTAGAACCCCCACACCCATGTGCCCAATTGGCTCATGTCCTGCTGCTATTATATGTATAAGCAATTTTACTATTAAAAAATGACATTATTTACTATGTCAGGAAATTTACATGGATATTTTTTGTGTGAGTTTGGTTCATATGGACACATAAATTATAGCATGAAAAGCTTCCCCTTTCTCTGTGAGTGTGTTGTATGCACCAGCTGTGAGGCTTGTGCATGTGTTATGCACGATTGTTCATCTCGACATGCATAGGATATGCCTAATTTTATTAAACACAATTAGTTTTAGCTAATAATTCATAATCTCTCTTCAGTATATCATTGTGGCCCTTGTCCAAAGCAGTGTATTATGTACTCCAACAACTGCTATTACTTAAGTGCTGAACAAAAACACCTGGAAGGAGAGCGTGACGGCCTGTCAGAGTAACAAGTCTCAGCTGCTCTACATAGACTCTGAGGAAGAAATGGTAAGACTTTCATTGTCCAACCATTTTATTGAAGACTTATTCCAGTCAAATTTATATTTATAGATTTCATACATATTTTGTCCAAATTTGTAGTTTATTTTTAAGTTTGTATAATGTTCCATTGCCTGACATTGTGGATTTTACAAAAAATCTTTGATCCATTAATGTACACTTGAAATATCCTGATCTTGACCTTCTTATAGAACAATATTTCTAATATATATATTTTTTATATATGTGTATGTGTGTATATATTATAGATATGTGGGTGTGTATATTAAATAAATATTGCAGTTTAATACACATCAAGAAAGGCAAGCATATTGTGATTGGGCAGATTAATCACCAAGTGAATGAAAATTGTGCCTGCAGAGCAGATCCTGAATAGAAGTCCCAGCCCCAGAGCACCCCAGGCATAAAGTCTCTCTCTCCTCACTCCTGCTGTCTGATTATTAACCACTGACTTGACTTTTAATTTCATAGCTCTCTTTTCTTGTTTATGAACTGAAATGCAATCACACGGTATATACTTAGTTCCTGTCTCATCACTCCCCTATAATTTGTCGGTAATTCATCTGTATGTTGCATTTATCTGCTGTTTGCCAATTTTCACTGCAGAGTTTTATGATATAACATGTTAAATCCAGTCTGTTTTCTGTGTCAGGGATGAGGTGTGCGTGTCACCTGCTGAGAGATAAAGAAATTCTTGGGTTGTTCAGTATCCTTAGTGATAGGGTCTCCTTAGTTATGGGGAAAGGCTGGCCTGAGCCTCCTCATGTTGCAGGTTGGTGCTACAGTCCTCAGGCATAGGTCAGAATTGTCCTTGTTCACATGACAAGAAGAGTGAAGTTACTAAGTATAAAACTTTAGGAGCACATGTTATAGAATGATGATGTTCTCGTAAGAGTTTGTGGCACTATGCACAATAGTTTTCAGCACACTACGTGTATGTGGTATGAGATTGGAATCTGCCCTTCATTCTGAAAAAGTAGGATCTTGTGAAAGAACACATTATTTATGTTTTTAATTAAAATGAACCCTTTCATCATTCCTTTGTAAGTGAAAATTCTTTATGTTTGAATAGAAATTTATGACCTCCATGTCAGTTTCGTCATGGATTGGAGTCTACCGTAATGATAGCGATCAGCCATGGACATTTGTAAATGGGTCAACTTCACACCTAGAGTAAGTTTTATTTAAATAATATGATAATACAATTTAAAAATGCCATTGTTTCTCGTTTTTCCCCACCCTTATGAACTTCGAGAAGAAAGGTATGAAAAGGAATATAAGAAGAATGTATTAGTGCATTTGATTTAAATAATAGACATGAAGAATAGTATTGAATGTGAGTGGAATCTTCATAAATATTGAAGAAAGGACAGCTCAGTTTGTCTAACTGATAACTCTTACAAATATTCTATGAAAATTGTCTTCATCCATTTTCACATTATGTTTGTATTGAAATCAAAGGAAATGCCATGGTTTCTTGGTTTGCCCCAACAATATATAACAACAGAATTATGCATTTTTTCTTTATTACAGGATAAGGGAATCATTATCTGCTAACAATCACTGTGTTATGCTACAATCTAAATATTATGCAGATAATTGTGAAGATCCATATATGTATTATTGCAAGCATAAACTTTAAATTAAAACAAACAGGGGCCTCCCTGGTGGCGTAGCGGTTGAGCGCTGGGTTGCAAAGATGCCCGCAGCCTCTGCAGCGCCAGTTCAAGCCCTCGCTGCTCCCCGGCCACCAGAGGAGAGTCCCACATGGCGCACAGACCTCTCCTGCCTCCTGCTGCTCCCCTCAGCAGTGTGCTTTGGTCCTTCTGCCTGCTCTGCTCCCTGCTCTGGCTCTGGTGAATTCTCTCACCCTCCTGCGCTTCTGCCTGTACCCAGTGCTTGTATAAGTAAATAAATAAATCTTAATATATATAAATATATATAAATAAAACAAAAAAGTTTGGTTTTATTTGTGTAACTTTCCATTTCAAGAAATAATTCTTATATATATATATATATATATATATATTATCTAATGTTATTTTCTCAGCATAATATTTGAAATGCACTATATTCAGGAAAAATACAAATAACTTTACTTTTGTGCCTGACATTTTTTGTTCAACATTTCATGTACGGTGTTCAACCTTCATGAAGATCATTTGTTGTGTGAGATTATTTATACATAATGGCAAATACACTTTCATACAGAAAGTAGAATGGGGCTTGCCAGGGACTGAGAGGTGGTGGGATGAGGAACTGGCTACAGATTTTTTCTCTGTTTCTTTTTGAAATGATGGAACTTTTTTTTTTCAGAGCTAAGAGTACTGATGTTTGCAAACTCTGAATATGCTAAATATCTTCAATTTATTCACTTTAAATGGCTGAATTTTATACTTTGAAAAATTTTTCTCAATAAAGCTGCTTTGAAAAATTCCTGTGATGATATTTGAGAACTTTTAATCTTTAAAATAATTTGGAGAAAAATACATGACTGGATCAAGAAGATGTGGTATATATACGCAATGGGATATTATTACTCAGCAATCAAAAAAATAAACTCATGCCATTTGCATGAATGAATGGAGCTGGAAGGGATCATGCTCAGTGAAATAAACCAAAAAGAAAATGAAAAATTCTGGTTGGTTTCACTTATAGGAGGAATGTAGAAGATCCAAATGAGGGATCAGGAGAAAAAATAAAAGTTATTGTATAAGGTGAAAATCAAAATCAGCACGCAACTATAAACCAGAGACATTCTGCAGGGGCAGAGAAGGGAGTAGGATCAAGATGGGTGGGAAAAACACAAGGGACTATGGTGAGGTTCATGGGTGAATTGGTGGTGAGAATTTCAGGGGGACAAGAGGAACTCAATGAACTATGCTTGAGGAGTGTGGGTACTTTTGGTGGCCATGGTGTGATGTCTTGTACAGGGAGGTTCAGTCAGATCACATGTTATTCAACTCAACCATATAATTATAAAGAATGATGTTAAGAGGATGCCAAAAATGGGTGGTTTTAGAATATAAAGAGTCACAGAGAAGTCAGTCATAAATGGCCAAAATGGCAGCTTTCTTTGTGTTTAACTTTCTACTCATGTTCCTAAGATGTGGAACATTATGGGTTCTTACTCTGGACTTGAGAATTAACAGTATTTATTTCAGTACCTCTTTTGGATGGAAGATGGTGTCTTTCTAAAGTTTCTATATCAGTAAATATGTTTTTAAAATCACTGTAGAAAAATGTGTGTGACTCTAAGGCAGTCAGCTCCAAAGAGAACACATTTGTGCATGTCCAATCTTCTATTCTAAAAGTACTAACTGAAAGTTGTATTTATTTGTAATTCATGAGTGTAATCTTGTGCATAAGGTAAGATATTCACATTTAATATGCCATTTTGCCCTTCATTTTATGAGGCCTCTCCCTTACAGACTGCCATCGTTGTCTCTCTCTCTCTCTCTCTCTCTCTTTCTCTCTGTGTGTGTTTGTGTGTGTGTGTGACTGTAAGACAACATGGAAAAAATTAACTTTTGTTCCTCACATACTCTGAATTGGCTATCATACACTAATTTAATGACCTCAATATCTAAGTTTTATGTTTTCTTTTTCTTCCTCTCACTTTGGTTCTAAACTATATGTGTCAGGCTTCCCTGTTGGCGCAGCTTGTTGAACTCAGTGCTTTGAAGCTGTCTGCAGCCTCTGCAGCATGGGTTCAATTACCGGTTGGCCAGGGAAATACCCACATGGCATGGCAGACCTCTCCTGTCTCACCCGCTCCTCCCCTCAGCAGTGTATTTCATCAGTCTGCCTGTTCTGTTCCCCGCTCTGTCTCCAGTGAATCCTCTCACCTTCCTATGCCTCTGGCCTGTACTACAGCTCTTGTATAAATAAATAAATCTTTAGAAAAAAATACAATAATCTATATGTGTCAATATTAGCCAAGATTTCCTGCAACAGTTTCCCCATAAACAGTTCACATAAACTTACTACAATAAAAAAATACATAAATACACAGAAATGATAAAATGCTAGCAATAAAAAAAGCACTTGATTTTTGAATAAGCATGTGGAGGGGTAAGGTGCCAAGGTAAACAATTAAAGATCTCTTTCTAATTAAATAAAAAAACACAATTTTACATTCTTAACTTATCATTAATTTTATTTCTTTACTCATTCATTTGTTTTCATGAGTTTTTTTGCATCTCCTTCATTAGATTTTATGAGTTTTTTTTTTTTTTTATCATTTGACAGCCCTAAGTTTTCTTCTTTCAGTTTCTTTCTCCCTCCCTCATTTCCCCCCTCTTCTTTCCTTCCTTCCTTCCTTCCTTCTTTTTGTGTAGAAAAACTGGAGTGTAGGTCAGAGGTATGCAGAGTGAGAAGATTCACCAGACAGAGTGGGGAACAGTGGATTTACTGAAATACACTAAGGGGAGCAGCAGGTGAGGCAGGAGAGGTCTGCCGTTCATTTGAGTTAGTTTCCTGGCAGGTATTGAACTCAGGCTGTAGTGATGATAGTGCTGAGACTTAAAGCCAAGGAGGTCCCTGCTGGAATATCTTTATTATAGCATATTTCAATTCTGTATCTGTAGTTTTATTCTGGAGAGTTGTTCTTTCTTTATGATATTTTATTCCATTAAGATCTTGGTTGCTATGTGTTGCAAGTTTTTGTCTGCCAATTTTGCTACTCTTTAATTACTTAAAATAAAATACGCAGGGCCTCCCCGGTGGTACAGCATGTTGAGTGCCATGCTGTGAAGCTGTCTACAGCCTCTGCAGTGCCGGTTCAATTCCCGGAGGGCCAGGAGATTCCCACATGGCGGGGCAGACATCTCCTGTGTCGCCCCCTGCTCCCCTCAGCAGTGTACTTCGGTCCTTCTGCCTATTCTGCTCCCTGCTCTGTCTCTGGGGAATTTTTTTGCCCTCCCACACCTCTGGTCTGTACCACAATGTTTGTATAAATAAATAAATATTAAAAAAATAAAATAAAATAAAATAAAATAAAATAAAATATGCAGCAATAACTTAGACAGTTAACCCTAACCCAGCAGGGAGGTACTTTAGTAGAAGATCTTTAAACATATCTTTTAGTTAAAGTCATCTAGAAATTAGAACTCTTCATTAAAAAAAATAAATTTCCAGAGAATGAATTTTTTTTGTCATCATATGTAAAGGGTATTTGTTTTTTTAATGATTTTTTGGGGGGTCCTTCCTGATGGCACAGAGTAAAAGTCTCAGCACTATCAATCAATAGCCAGCCAGTGTGGCATGAGTTCGACCCCTTGCAAGGGAGCTAACCCACATGGTGAGCAGACCCCTCCTGCTCCCTTCAGCAGTGTATTTCAGCAGATCTGCCTGTTCTGCTCCCCACTCTGTAATTTTAGAAATATTTCATTAAATTAGAAATGAAAATGAGAACATAAGGAAGTTACATAATCCCAAGGTTCAGCAACCTTCTCTTCAAGTAGAACATATAAGATGCAAGACCTAAGTTTTCAGTGTTTTGTGTTTGAGATGAAAGCAATTGAACAGCAGTGCAGTCAGTCTGGTTCCCTGATTTTTTTTTTTTTTAATGGGAAAACATTTTGATTAGCATTATCTTTTCCAGCTCCATCCATGTTGTTGCAAATGGCATGAGTTGAATATAAAGTAACTAAATTCATAGTCAGATAAAGACAAGTTGAGAAACTAACCTATCTGACTACAAAACTGAGACCCTAAAGAAGGGCCGTTGGGGAGGGAGAGAGGGAGGCACAAGTTCTGTGATGGTGGACTGTGGGCTGGATGGTGGTGGATGCACTATGGTGGCATTGTGTGATAGGGATACCTCAATGATACTTAAGTTAAAATAATAATTTAAAAAGTGGGAAAACAATTTCTCAAAGGCATTTTTCAATGAACAAACTAAAGACACATTACAAACTCAAAAAAGTCTCCCCTGCTCTGGAGGTGTGATGAGCTAAACTGTCTTCACAGTCTAGACAAGTGCTAGAATTTCCTGTTCAAAATTTGACAGTGATAGAAATCTACTTTTGCCACTCTTGCTTCATTCTGAACCTTCACAGGAGAGTCTGTGTAAACCACAGATATTGTTTGTTTTTTTCCCAACAA